TTAGAAGCTAATGATCTGATAGATCATGGGCAGTTGTTAGTGCAGTGTTTATAAATGAAGATCTGTTTAGAGGACGCTAATGATCTTCATTAAACCATTGCATAACAACTGGCCATGCTGTATCATCTAGCAAGTCATCTTTCAACTCTTGGAGAGCATCAAACTGTCTTGAGTCTTTTTATGTTTAGAAACTAGCAAATCCAAAAAATGGTTGGCCCCCCCTAATGCTCGATGTAATTTTCGTTGGAAATTTTCCACAGCCCCCCGAAATCATAGTAGGGAAAAAGAGTGACCCCCCCTCAAAATCATCATAGCCCACCCTCTAGGTTAATTATGAATGCTCCCTAACAGCCACAGAGCGATGGTTTGATTTGTTGAACGAAAGATTATAATGTCGATTATTATAAAAAATTGACTGCAATTTCTGATAAATAGTTCCACATTTTTGAGGCTAATCTAACAAGAGAGTCTTAATTTTTGGAGACCACAAATACATATAAATAAGATGACGTACTAAATGCCGTGAATTACTTGCGTAAATCGTAAAATTTTTCGACTCCAGTAGCTAGACGTTTTCAAGAATTAAAATTTCCCTTTGTTATTCAAGTGGCCAATAGTTCAAGCAGCTTTGCCAAGCGTTGCACGATATCCGATAGTCATTATTGCAGTTATCTTCAAGCTTGTGGACTTTTAAAACGACATATGTCAGTGTAGTAAATTGTCGATTTGCTTATGCGACAATTTAAATCAATTTGCGCCACCTTTGCTATTAGCATCCTCATAGCCAAGCAATCATCAGTTTGTACTTAATCATATATTAATTGACAATAGTCAAACATCCCAGTAGGGTACATATATCTTAGTGTATATTTGGTTGACAAATTCGCTGCATTGTTCTGACATTTCTTAGAGCTAAGTCCTTTTTATTCGATAGTTGGTAGATCGAACAGATTGAGTATGAGGAGAAGCAAGGAAGGCCGGATAAAAAGGAAGGCTACTTAAGTATGCTGCTAATCTTTCCACTTTTAATAGTTAATCAGTTAATTTACAGTTGTAGAAAAAGGTTAAAATACTTTTAAAAAACGAGCATTTTGGACAAATTTCCCCCATTTGGTAAATAAAAAAGAATGCAGGGGGTTGTAGTGCTGACTTTTTTGTAGATTTGAAAGCTAGTTGTAATTTCATTGCAAATTTTACTCGAGGTACGTGTCCGTAAAATTTGATACTCCTTGAAGGAACCCTGATTCATGTTTTTTTTTCTTTTTGGCTTTTCCTTTAAGCGTTCAGTTCCACTTTTTCTCCCATATGGTACCATGCAGTAAAAGGAAAGTAACAAATACTGAGGTATTTAACAAGGATAACTAACTAAGACGCTACGAGAAATACCGTTAACTACCGTTTATAAGCCCTGGGCTTATACAATTCGTAAGGGGTTTTAAGAGGGCTTACAAAAGAGGGGACCAATAACCGGCCTCAGCTGAAAAAACGTTTCAAAACAAACTACCGACACGGCAGTTCTGATCAACATACTTTTTGCATTTTCTCACTTTTTTGAGCTTCAAAACGTCGAAAAAATCGTGTCATCAATTGTGTCATTTATAGACTAGCTTCCCTTTCCTTTCGTCTTCTTAGTCTTCCTAGATATAAATTTCTTTACGTTTTCGTCCGCCCAGCTCGATTAGCCAAGCTATTTTGCGAGCAGAGGATGTTTGTGTATATATATTTGTCTTAATTTCAATTAATTAAATTTATAACTTATGAACAAGATATTACATAAACTTCAACTTCAAATTCGAATTCGCTTCAATACAAGCTAGAGGGGGGCTAATCCGGGGGAAGGAGTTTTTTTGTTACGGGTAGATGGGTCTATAACTTGGGTGGGTTAGGGGGGGGGGGGGGCTAAAAATGGGAAAACTTATAAGTGGAAGTTTACGGTATGTCTCAAAAACGACACTTGACCTAGTGCTTAAGTTCCCTTTTTCACGCATCAACGTGACTATAACAGTCGCAGGCACATAACACAACAAAATTTGTTGTTTCTAATTGTGGGTTTCTTGAAGAACCGCAAGTCTGTTGTAGATATCATGAACCCAAAATTAGAAGAAATGGCGCTTCCCTTTTCGGAAATTCAAGAACGGATGTTTAAACTACACAAACTGAATCCATGGATGTTCGTGTGCGCGCCTTAATCACACAAAACAGGTCTTCGTTTCTCTCAATAGCCGGCGACTCTAGACTCTTCGACGCACATAATAGTTCTTAAAGTCACACAAGAGAGGATAAAGGGGACAAAGAAGGCTTCCCTATACACACCCTATTCCATAGGTAATTCGTCTCGAATTATTTTTGGAATCGGGATAAAGTTACCTCGCGCGCTGCGTGGATGTTTCGTGGAGGTTTCGCATGACTAAACGCCATGCAAAACATGTAGGGCGAAAGGCTATGAAAGCGTAAAGAGATCGAGAGCATTTCTAAATATTGAAGCGAAATAAGTCGGCGCTCACGTGGGAAAAGAAAATCGGTTGACTCTTTGACAACCCGTGAAGTTGTCGTAACCGCAGTGCTTTAATAAAATGAGAAATTTCGCCGGTTTATTGAAACCTGGTCGTTTGTATAATAAAGCAAGTACAACGCCAAGTGTTATTTTTGTTGAATAACAAAAGACTAATAAAAGAATAAATATCAAACCAGAAATTGCTGTCTTCAAACTGTAAATTATAAATAATCCTGAGAGAAGATTCAGTGTGTTAAGGATTTCCCTGTTGTACTGTTAGCTCTATACAAGAGAGGAAGAGCGATTCTTTTTTAGTTTCTGTTTCGCTGACACAACTTTAGCAGAAATCTCTCTTTAGTCGTTTTCGTCGACAAAACAAGTAGCAATATCACTCTCCGTGTCTTCCACCATTTTTTTCTGAGTCAATTCGTGAAGGACGTTTAGCTCTGAGCGTGAGTCATCCACGCGGAACACATTCGTGCTATGTGATTGGCTGTTGTCTAATCCCCCTTGGGATCTATGGTCTTAAAAATAACTCGAGACGAATCACCTATGGAATAGGGTGTGTATGGGGGATGCCTTCTCTGTCCCCTTTATCCTCTCTCGAGTCAGATTACTAATACCTGGTGGCCTTCCATTCAAATAAGAGCTTAGAATACCTAAATTACGACTAAACGTTTTATGATTTTTGTTAGGACAACTACTTAATATAAATAATTACAACTTATTATATATAACTAGCATAAGTCATACATTTACAGTACAGTAAGCGTAAAACAAGTAGCCTTGTAGTGTATTTTTTGTATGATTATTTACAAATTAATAAAAGACTGTAACTCAGTCTTTGTTATGGGCATGCGTCCACGCGCGCAAGGAAACAGGGGATTATAAAAGCCCCCCAATACCACTGAATTAATAAAGTCTCACAAATGAAGAAGCAGGTTCGCAAACAAAGAATTATAATAAAAGGCAATACTCAGGGGCGATATTGTCAATAGAGAGTTTAAGATCCGAGTTTAAAGCAAACCTGTAACTGCGGTTTGCGGTTACCCGTTTGCGGTTCGACGTTCAAACGTAATTCGATTTAGATTGGCGGTGGATTAAAAAAGTGGAAGTAGGTTTATTTTTCCATTTAGAAATAGAAGAAATATCAATCAGTGAAAATAAAAGAAATTTACGGTAACACTGGGTTATCTAGCAGCAAAGAGCTGTAAATTCTTACATTAGTTCTTCTTGCAAATTTATGGCCGCCATTTTGTATCAGCAGCCAATAATGTCACTTGTTTTCAAGATCCAATAGGATTTATCAATTTTAGCATTTCGCCGAAATTTGTGCCTCTGTTAATGGATAAAGGCTTGCTCCACAAGATTTTCGTATCATTACGTGGGATAAAACAAGAGGTATTAATAACGCTAAAAGCTTTCAGGTAAATGACATAAGTGAAAACTTACTTCCCCACGTTGAAAACGCACGTCATTAACCTCAAACGTGACGCGAAAGACTTGCCACGTGACCTCCGGCGGTTAGAGGTTCGCGGTAAACTCGGATCTAAAACTCTGTAATGTTCATTCGTGATCCTGCAAACGGATTCTTAACAACAGTATAAATAACTCTGGACAGGTCTCAAAAAAGGCATAAGACTCTTAAGACTAAGTTAAAGCATTGAGGTTTTCAATTGTTTTAAATAGCCCTCATCAGCAGACTGATACAGTCTTGGATGTTGTCACGTGACTTGTGAGTATTTAGTCACCCGACATCAAGTGTTAAACATGCGCGGGGTAATTCGAGAGAAACTGAGTTGTTTGTACATCATTGGGCCGGAAAGCTTCAAGTAATTACCTGGGCCATCACTAACACGCAACATGGATAGCTTAAGAATACATTGATACCTCTTCCAAAGAAGGCATTGAATTTTCCGAGACGCACTTGCCTTGCCTCCCGGGAGTAAATTAATCCAGTGCGAAACATTTTATTAAATTGCACGAATTAGGATATTGATCCCGGCTGAGCTTGCAGAAAGTACAGCAATCATGCATTTGTCTCTTAACCTATTACATCAGTATAACCACCTAACGTAAAGCAATACAGACATGATTCTTTTAAAAGATAAAAAATAAATTAATGTCACGCCAACAGCACAAAGGAAGCAATACAACGGTTTAAGGATGGTAACCAAGCACGGCTTGAAAACTATCTTCGAGCCGCTTCTCCCGACCCGACGAACAGCCCCTGGGTCTCCGAAGATGACTTTAGCGTATAGCTGATTGTAAAGATATCTAGTACATATCTAGAAGAAGTTCTAATCTGGATTCTTTTGCAAAAAAAAAAGAGATAAGGTTGACACTGGATTGAGCGCCTCAGCAAGGTTAAGATAAATCATTTCCTTATTGGTATATCATTATTAATAATGACATGCGTAGTTTTCGCACGCACAACGTCCTCGACTTGAAATCCCTTTTGTACGATCCAGAGTTCCTCAAGTCATACTGAAGGACCTGATACCGTTCATCCTCTTTCACAGTAGCGATACCGCCCTTCAGGTGACGGGTTTAACTCATACACATAAAACCCTTGACACTCCCTCACGCGTATCTGAACTATCCTATAACAACAGTTTTCCCATCCGTGGAAGCAAGCTTCCCTGTCCACGATGCCATCTTTAAAGGTAGGGTGGCCACCTTTTAACCACCCAGTTATATCTGTAGTGCATCTGTGGACCTGAATACAATTGTCTACCATTCTTGAGTATGAACTTGATTGGAAGCGATACCAGCCGGGGACAAGATTACTGCCTGAGTTAGTGCCTCGGCCAAAAGACTGGTATCGATTGGGTTGACTGAGGACGTTATAGTCCCGGCACTCTGGTACATCTGAATTAACAAAAAAGCAAAAGAGTTCCGCTATTTTGTATTCACATACAACACAAAGCCGAGGTGAACAGCTCTAACTAGAAGCTTGGGTATCGAACAATTTGAGGTGGTTGTTAGTTGTTGTTGTTGTAAATATTTAACAATTATTCCTCGAGCCTGAATGGGCTCTGAGTCAATAGCCCATGAGGCCAAAGGCCGAAAGGGCTATTGACTCAGAGGCCATGAGGGCGAGAGGAATAATTGTTTTAGCAAAATCCAACTAGTTGGTAAAAAATATCGAGAATAAAAAACTTTTAGCTAGTTAAAGCTAGACTTTAATCCTTTTTTGCCGCCAAAAAGCTCGCGCTTTTCGCTTCTAGATATAGGGGGCTATAACATATAGCCTAGTGGTAGCTCAACCAATCAGAACGCAGCATTGATAATAGACCACTGATTGGATTTTACTAAATCTTAATAGCTTGTTCATATCTCGAAAAGGGGCTTTTGTTAACTTAAAGTAATTCTACGTTAACTTACAGATTTCACACTCATCGCCAAAATATCCAGGAAGACAAGAGCAACTATACGTTCCATCTCTGAACGAAATCAGGGAGCATATTCCATTGTTCATACAAGGAACATTAGTACAAGGATTCTGCAGGAAAAAAATCATTACATTAAAACACAACGATTGTGATTATAATGGAAACAAACGCTCTACACTTCTTCATCATCAATGTTACCACTTTACTCCGAGAGCCTGTTAATACAACCAACAACCTGACTGTTAGTAGCTTTTTTCGAAGTTCTCACTGAGGCCTGAGGCCTGAGGCTTCATTTTCTTGGTATAGTTTGTTCTACCAGTCAAATGCATCTTTGGTGGAAGTAATAAGTAAAACAGTTAGTTACTAACACTATTTAGAAAGCTCTTCGGGATTACAAAAAATGCCGGTTAACATTTGAAAGAAACAAAAAAATATATAGAAATCGAACAACCAGACATAAACCTACAAACATATATGTTCAGTGACTGAATCGAAGAATGCAGTAAAAATAAAAAATAAAAATAACACCCGCTTTCAGCGCTTTAATTGTTTTGCTCTTTTATATCTTCACTTCTAGAGAGATAACTTTGAATTCAATCTCGTCTGTGGTTCACCGTAAGTTGTAAAAAATTGGCAATTATATATTAGACTACATCAATTATTGTAGATTTGCGACAAACCTGTATGCTGTAATGGTCAAATTTAAAATTTAAAACGATTTTCCCTGTGTTGTTATAGATGCTAGATGGAAGAAGCTCGCACCAAAGTTTTTCTGCTGACGTCTCTGCAAAGTTGAAGGAAATACAGAGTTTGTTATCAACACAAGCGAAGCTACAGTCGACCTTGTCGTCGACGAGAAGAGTTTCCAGTGGTGTTATATTGAGGTAGAGAGAATCGTGAAAAACAAATCGTAGCTGTAGAAACTTTTCCCCGATCCCGTGTGCGTTTAAAACGTAAATGCAAGACACGAAAAGAAATACCGATAGGAGTTTCATATCTTTTCTTCTTTGCTCTGCACTCATGATTTTGTTGATTTTGATTTCAGTGAAAGCAGCTCCACAGTGTTTCCTAGCTTGGAGTAAATTTAAGTAATCAGACAAAACCACCAAGATCGTATTAAACCTTTGTAATACTGCAGAATGAAACGTTTCTTTGTCGGTTGAACGCCTGATTAGTACGTTAGTTAATTAGCTGCTTGATATAAGCAGTTTCTTATTTTAGGCTGCATGATCTGATGATGAGGTCTTAATTTCTGCGACCACAATTACATAAATTAAGCAGAAGATGTAACATTGCAATAATACTTCACACTTACGTATATCAAGAGAATTACGTGGACTCTGTAGAAGTCTTGAAGGAACTAATTCTCCGCTTTTCTAAGGTGGCACTGACTTGCTATGTGATATACTGACAGTACCATATTCGGTAACCTTGAATTACAGCCAAGCGGTATTTTCTTAGTCATGGGCTTCTTATGCTATGGGAGTGAGTAATCAGTTGCTGAGGCTTTCGCGGTATTGTGGAGTCTTAAGAATGTTGTTTTTCCGGCACGGGCTGAATATACTCCACACTAGAAAAAAGTAGACACCCGCATAAAAAAACCCGTGAATTTTATGGGGGTGTCTACTTTATTCCGCTGCTCTGATGGAAGGTTAACTTCCTCGCTCGTTTCCTGTCACCTGACTCCAGGGAGTTAGAACACCTGCTCCAAAAAGTCGGGATTGACGCTCTTCTGAATAAGAGAAATTTCGTATCTTCGCGCGGCCATGTAATATCCTCTATCTACGAACAAATCTCAAAATTAGCGTACTCATGCTTATAATGCCTATAACCTGATTTTCATTCTGAAAGAACACGTTACTACAAGGACTTTTTCGAAACAATTATGAGCCTTGAAAGAAAAGAAATGTTTTTTTAGAAATTTTCCTTAATTTCTTTGGCACACCCGTTATATGCTGATCATGAAATTGACAGTCTTATATGAGACTTCTTGAGACATTCAGGAACTAAAAGGAACGAGATTTTATGCGTGCTTATCCCTTTCTTATGGTCGCCAGTGTTGTTCAACTGAAGATCTACCTGCAGCGTATCTTACTGGATTCGGGCTCGAGGAATAATTGTTCAGTATTTTATATAATAGCTCATTCATAAAGGATGCTGATGTGCCGTAGATTTTATATGTAGGGCTTACATGAGGTAGTAACCCAACGCTGGTAAATTTAATTGCTACACTGCTAGAAGGTGATCAAGATTGTCACGTGACTGGAAGCACCTGGGATTTTGGCATCTTATTCGTAAAAACTCGTAGATGCCCTAAATTACTCTCACCAGCATGGTGAGTTATCTGGTTCACAAAACATGCATTACACTGTTCATCCTCGGAGACCCAGGGGCAGTTACTCGGGCCGATAAAATGTTCGTGGTGAAAGTTTACCGATCTTACAGTAAACTTTCACCACGAACATTTTATCGACCCGACTAACTGCCCCTGGGTCTCCGAGGATGTACACTGTTAGAAAAGAAGGAAAAAGATAGAAGATTTCTTAAAATTGAAGACCAATTTCATTGGTTAATGTGGGTGTGAAAATTGCGTCCAAGGCTATCGCAAGACGATTAGGAGCAGTAATGCCATTACTTATTCCCGCCAATCAAAACGGTTTCATAAAAGAACGGTCAATTTTAGACGCGGTACGCACTATCGATGACGTTCTTGAGATCGGCAAAATAATGATGCAGAACGAATCCGGCATTCTACTTGCAATCGATTTTGAAAAGGCTTTCGATTCGCTGAACCACGAATTTTTATATCGGGTTTTACAGAAAATGGGTTTTGGACCAAATTTTATTCAGTGGATTGGGACTTTCTATAGGAACTTGTCAGGCTGTGTACTGAATAGTGGCTTTACAACTGCATGATATCTTTTCAGTTAAACGTGGGGTAAGACAGGGTGATCCTCTCTCTCCTTCACTGTAAATTCTTGCGTTGGAAACGCTTTTATGTCAAATTCAAGATAAAAAATATTAAAGGCTTTTTAATTAAAAGGAAAGAAATCAAAACGACTCTTTTTGCCGACGATATGACCTGCTTCTTGAGAGATACCAATTCATACTTTCAACTTCTGACATCTTTACAAAATTTTGCCAGATACTCAGGCCTTCGTGTAAATGATGAAAAGACAGAGATTTTTGCTATTGATCCGCACAGTCTTGTTCAAGATGATTTTACTCACAAAATACGTAGTATGATCAAAATATCGGGATTTTTTTTAAATTATGAAACCCCAGCTAGACTGTGAGTCCATCTTTAAATCAATCCAGGGAACGTTAAATAGCTGGAAAGGTAGGGGCCTTATCCTGATAGGAAAATTCAGATTGTAAAGTGTTTTCTGTGTTTTATTGTCCCGAAATTTCTGAGCAAAGCAACGTTGATCTGATCAGTACCTGAAGACCATGTTAAAGAAATCAACAAGTTGATTTATCACTTTATTTGGAAAGGAAATGATATAAAATCAAACGATCTGCGCTAATCACAGTGATATTAATGATGATGGCTTCAAAATGTTAGATATTCATTCAATGATTTGCGCACAGCGAGTAATGGTATTAAAAAAATACGCAGACGAGGAAAACCAATTAGCTCTTGGAAAATAACCCTGGATTATTTCCTGTCTGGGGTAGGGGCCGGCCGGGGTAGTTCATCCTCCACTGTAATTTTGATACAAAAAAACTTCCAATTTACCTTTTTATAAAGAATGTCTGGATGCCTGGTCTCGGCTAAATAAACCAAATATTCTTTCAAGACATACGAGGACGTTGCGAACAAAGTAATTTGGAACAATAAACACATTATCATCGAGAAGCATTCGGTTTTTGAAAAGCAACTCCCGGAAGAAGACATTTTAACTGTTGGCGATCTTTTCTTTAGGAGGGTTTAGAGGGACCACTCTCAGATTGACTGTTTTTAGTTAATGGATCTTATGGACGCGGTACCTGTTGAATGGAGAAAACGTGTTAAACAAAGCGCTCATTACACTCGTCCTGAATCGAAAAACAAGGTCCACCTTAAACCTCCATCTGCTCAAAAGAGGTTTCAGTAACCTGTGTACAGACGTCCCCTCTTCCTCAGAAGAAGATTTTTTCTGAGGGAGGGGGAAAGTCTGTACACAGGCTAGGTTTCAGGATCAATTTCCTGATGTTCAATTTGATTGGAACGAAATATATTCGCTCTCCCTTAAAGTGTCGCTAGAAACAAAAATAAAGAATTCCAATATGGTTTTGAACAACATTGTTTCCACGAATGAAAAGTTATCTAAAATTAAGATGACTGATTCGCCACAATGTACCTTTTGTAAAAACGAGATTGAATCCCTTGAACATCTGTTTTACAATTGCGAAATGACAAGATCTTTCTGAGTAGCGCTCCGTTCTTGGCTTGTAGAATATAATATTAATTTAAAACCTTCGTCAGTTTTTAATGTCTTATTTGGCATATTCAACGCAGGAGAAGATTTTGTCATTGTAAACCATCTTATTCTAGAGGCAAAGTTTTACATTTATCGCTGTAAATTAAATGGTGTTAAACCAGCAATGCGGGTCTTAAAAACAAAAATCGGAGCGATACACAATATACAAGGTAGAATAGCATTTATGCGGAATACGGTAGAATTCCATGACAAAAAATGGGAAAAAATCAAGTGTTGTCTCAATTGAGTCTATCCCCCCCGGTTTTCTCCCTGCCTGTTATTGTTATTTTTATATTTCTGTTGTCGAGTATACATATTGATTTTTTTTTTCAGGATAAAGTGTAGTGTAGCTTCTTTTTATGTAAAGTTGTAACGCCAGTATCAAATTGTAATGTTTATGTAATGTTGTGGAGTCCTTAATAAAATCATTTCTTGCTTTAACAAATAAAAATAAAAAATAAAAAATAAATGAGATAGTGTTGCCGCATTAAGCCATTAGTAATCTTTATCTTTGATGATTAATATTTATTTAGTGGTATCGCATTAGGCACGCGGAACGAGTAAAACCAAACTTTGATCGGTGTTATCTCTTAAGACTCTTAACTTTCCTTATGGATTATTATAACACTTATGAAGGCCAAGCCACAGTTACAAAACGCCAATGAGGACAGTCTGGTTCAGTAAAATCTCATTGTACTGCTTTTTTTTTCAACTTTATATACTTTTTTGGAAGCTGAGATTTCGTTGCCCTCGTGATAACGAAGTAACTGTTTTTAAGTGAGAATGATTCTCTCTTACTGTTTTCTGACAGATAACAGTCTAGCTGCCCCCAGCTAGACTCGTACCCAGGTGGAAAAAGATTAGGGTTGGGTTAAGGCCTACGCGGTGCTGTGAACAGCTTGGGAGATACTTTATAACACGCTTTTATCAGCCATTTAAAGTCAGAGCAGTTGGACCAGTTATAGATATCAAAATCATTTCCCTTTTTGCCAATTCTATTTTTCGTTTGTTTGTGAAATGTCGTAGTATACGTTCTTATGATTGTGTTGTGATTTAGATATAAGGGGCTTGCTTAGTGCTGTACATTCGTTCCCCTTTAAGCGTCTACTTGTACAATCAGCTCAGCTCAAATATCAAAGCCGGTGTCACGCATTATATTAATTAGGTTGTTTCGTAAAAGGTTTCAACTTCGTCTGGTGTGAACTTGTAAGTTCCTGCCAGGAATGTTAGTGCCAAGGTGCTGGTGTAGCTGTACCCGCTCGGTGGGCTGTAAGTATAGCCAAGGTTGCTGTAAGAATTGCTATTAGATGACGCGTAGTTTTTGATGTAAATGTCATGTCCTCCCCCGAATGTAGGCCCGTAGGATGAGCTAAAGCATATGGATTCTTTGCTAGAACTATGTTGCCCTGATTGAGACAATTTGACAGCGCCCATCCTGGTTTGTTTACCAGCGAAAATAAGAAGGCTTTTGAGTCGTATTGATACCGGCCAGAATCAGAAGCTAAAAGAAATGAAAAAAAGCTTTTCTAAGATAAGTTAGCGACATTGTCCTTGTGCCTGTCATAATGATGACGATGATGATTATTTTTACATTAATTAAAAACAGTAAATACCTTATTCTCATAAAACAAATTCGATCGAGTTTCTCAGTAACGTTCGTCATTTATCAAAAACGAAACCAGTTTCTATGACTTCTTTATTATTATCATTATCATTATCAATATTATTATTCTCATTATTGTTATATTACTGTTATTATTATTATCATCATCATTATTATTAGTATGAATATTTTTTTATTGCATTATTATTTACGTGCAGGTATTTTGGTAAACTAATGGCAAGCGTGGTTCGTCGGCTCAGGAGAGAGTATTATGTGGCTGCAAGCTCACCGAAGCTGAGGTTTCGGCCTGTGGGAGATGTTAATTTTAAAAGATTTGCAATTGCAAGCAATAGATCGGGAAAAAAATTAGTAATTAATAAGATATGTTCTTATATAACTTTATGGAGCAAATCTCCAAATTTATCTGTTTTTGTCCTTTTTACAATGCTCCCTTACCCCATGAAATACTTGTGTATCCTCCGAAAATATATCTCCCGACCCTTATTATTGTCACAGTCGGGCCCTTGCTGTCACATCGGGAGTGAAATGTACTTGCAGCCCAGCCGTCCACGGATGCACGCCAACAGCGCTTCCAGAGAGAATTCACGCTTTTTGCCACAGTTGCTAGCCAGTTTCTTAAGAGCGGCCGTCCGTAAATATCGCCTGGGGGCGTGCAAAATGAAAAAATCGAAAATCCCCAAACTTTGTCAGAATATAGCCCTAGGTGAACTATTTCTAGAAAAATAACTTTTAGTTCGATTAGATTTTTCTTTTACGCGTGCCGCGACCGAGTCGGTTCGGAAGCTCACACGGCAGTTCTCAGGGGCTAATGACCATATATTACTTAAAAATCGTTTAAAAATTAAAGAGGAAACAAATTCTGCTTCTGGGAATCGTACCAAAAAGAGCTCAACTTAAACAATTGTTTTGATCTAAAATTTTCCTATTCGACGGCAAATTAAATATTTTTTAGATTTTTAATTATTTTACTTATTTTGCCCATTTTTCACGGACAAAAAATAGCAAAACTTCAGACTCGAAAATCACTCCTTGGTATACAGCTTTGGACCATAGCTTTCCTACCAATAGAAAGAGAAAGGTGTCTTCTTCACATAAATGCAATAAAATTCTTGGGCAAACCAAAAGGCAAGATGTTTTGAGCGCCGAACAAAAGCGACCGTTGAGGTCAAAACACGCCATTTTGTCACGACATTCAAAGGTTATTTAAAATATTTTTGCGCTTTGTAGCACAGAACGCCTTGTATTTGCCAAGAAGGTTTGCTTTTTAAGTAGCTGTATGATTTCTCTTGTTCATTTTGTTGGAAACCGTTTGCTAACAAGTGACATTTGCGATCGACTTGCAATATCTAAATTCTTTGTTATTGCTCCCTACTGAGAAACGTTTCAAACTTCATAGTTTTCCAGAACTTAAAATATTTCACGCACGATTAAACAATAATTGTTCCTTTCATTATATGAGACTAACTAGTTATACACCTACCCATTTTAAAGCTGATTCAATATAAACAAACAGGCTTCCATCCTATGCAATGCCGAGTTACCGATCGAGTACTTGTACTTCACGGAATGTCACAATTGCGTGACACAGGGGCGCAGGTAATGCACCTCAAACCGGAAGCGTACTATTGCGCGATTTAAGGTTTAAACGACTTGCACAGGTAAGGATACCTGGCATATGTCGTATTCTTAATTAGCTGAAACTTTTGTTCCCCCTATACCTTTTCTGGCGAGTAATCAAAGACGTGAAAACATCCATAATCCCAATTCCGTATCCCTACTCACTGCTCTACCCTACCTCCGCAGGCGCACAAGCCGAGAGACAATCCTGCGTTTTAGTGGACTAATTTAAGAGGGTACTTTTGTAATTAATTAATTTTATTTTTGTATCGACATGCAAAATATCTGTTATTATGCAATTAAACTTGGATAATACTGTAGTGGGAAATTTGAGTGAGTAGGTGGAAGGAGTAGGAGCTGTGAATGATTCCGTATTAGTCCAGACACCCAAGTTTCAATAATAATATTAGTTGCAGGAGCACGATTTTACAAGGTCCTCAATCAATTTTACGTAAGGTGCTTTACGTTTCAGTGAAACACCTTCGCACTTCAGATCAAAATAACAGCATATTAAACGCAACATTGACACGCTGAGCTTGGTCAGTTTCCTTTGTTCGCACATTTCACACAGATTGTACGTGTCATACATGACTGGATGAACAACCTGGCATTCCTGGATTATACGAGTGCGCACAGAAGAGTATACATCTTCCTCTTCAACGGCTTGAACATCGCACTCATCAGCATCATCGCAACTTTCGGACTGACGTAACTTCGCTGCAGCTCTTGAAAAATAGGATTTAATTTGCTGAGGTGAAAGGAATTCAGCTGGTGTGAAAATGCGGCTGCCATCTTCTTCTTTGGCGTGCCTCATATCTCTAGCCACGTCTTCTGGGTCTGTTTTATGTCCAGTTTGTTCTCCGATCTTAAACTTTTCGTTTAAGTAATTCTTCTGCTTGAAATTGAATCTAGAACTTTTTTTAGTTGAACGTAGGGCCCAACCCGGTGATAGCAGATGCCCCGCCCTCTTTTCTACCACAACTGAGCCCGCTACAAAAGGCTGTGCACTGGCACCTTCTTCGAGTTTTTCGAAGTACATCATCTTCGCCTTGTCTAAGAGGCTGTGTTTCTCCTCGAGAAACTGGCATTTTTCAAAATGCAAGTGGCGCTCAAGATTATAGTGGCGCTGAAAGGTGCTTACGCATCCCTCCACTGGACAATAAAAGAGCGGGCTTTCGTGGTCAGCGGAAACAACACTTTCCTCTTTCGTCGGCGACTCTTCCTTTCTATTATTAGAGGCCTGGGCGTTGTCACATGAAGATACATCTTGAAAGTCTCCTTGGGAAAATGAACAATGTGTGAAAACTGGTTCCTCTAGCGGGCCTATTTCAACTAAATGACGAAAGAAAAAAATATTAAAAGAGAAAGGCCTTCAGAATTTTTTATCAAAACACTTCAGAAGCGGATTATGGATGCTCAATCTCACTAAAACAAACGTTACTTCAAAAGTATTGTGTACTTATCTTTTTAAGCCTAGTGAATGGTCATGCTGAAATTACAACAGTTCTCAACCTACTTTAAAATTAACAGCGTTGCAGCTATCTCTTGTAGTTCGCATTGATGTCTATTCAGTTACGCTACGTTATAACAAAACTAGTGCCCAAATTATGAGTTAGTTATCTATAGCTTCTAAGATGTCTGACCTTCCAGTTGTGTCCATGATACTTTCTTTCCTTTACCCACGTCAAAAGCTTTCCACGCTGTGAGCTCTCGGTCTCCCAGATGGAAGTTGTTAAGGGTGCTAACTCCCTCTAATTTCCCACGCAGAGACGTTGGACACACGATGGACATGTCGATCAAAGCCACCCGAACACCTCTAACACCACCATGAGAGAGCATTGCATCTCGGAAGTCTTCTGCAGTGACCACATCGTGACCTTCGTTGAGATACCTTAAAACGTGAGCTTTAATTGTGGCCGCCTTTCTGTCACAGGGCCCCTTACCGCCTTGCGGGTCGCTAAAATCAACTCTTTCTACTTTAATTCCCGTTGCTTTCTCCATAAGTCCACAGGCAGCTAACATGGTTACACTGTGATAACATCCAGCGTTGTCCTGGCGGAGAAAGGCAGTTGTTGTTTCAGGATGGTCCATTTTGAGCTGCTGCAAGGTGTGGCGTAAAACGCTTACCACCGCGTCACTGTCTTGATTACAATTCTTCACAATGTGGACAAATGCTTGGTGTTGCAGGTTTCCCTTTCGACGTACGACGGTACTGATATGCCAAGAGATTCCTCTCTTAGCAAACCAGTCGGTTTGGGTTTCCCGGTACTTTCGGGGCAAGAATTTCATCGCCCAGTCTTGAGTGATTAACACTGAACTTTCTGCCAGGGTATCTATGATGTTTAAGCGGGCCTTATCCTGTTGAATAGATCTCAGTTGATGAGCCTTCCAAGCTTCTATCGCTGTATAAGCTTGCTGAAACGAGTACATGACGTCATCCCGGTCTTCTTCATCCAGGTTCGCTTCGATCAAATTCAACTCAATTTCTTTTAAAGTGTCTTTCAGCCGATCACAAAAGGGACAACTCTTTTCGTGGGCGTGGTCACACATTTCTCGAAGACACTCTTCTTTTGTATCAGTTAGGGCGTACGCACTACAGTGGTCGGGGATACTGGATGCTCTGGTGATATGAACCTGCGAGAAAGTAGTCAGAACAAAAATAATAAGCTATATCTACAAAGAAGAATTTCTTCATTGTGTTTTTGAAATTTCTGGGTAAATTTTGAATTCAACATCTTAAAAAAGAAATCATCAACCTATGATTGGCCAAAAAACTAGACACGATTTATCACACATCTTTTACTGCGGTCATACAATTAAATTTATTTCATAGTATAAAAGGGGTAACTAAGCATAAAAGGTAGGCATAGCTACAATAATTTTTAAGGGTTCAACTGATCGCCTTTGCATATTTATTTCTTTTATGTGATTACTCTTTCAGAGTATAAATGGTTCTAAAATATCTACCTTGTAGTCCGTTTTCAAATACTGTTTTCCCTCTTTCAGAGCTTGCTCGCATCTAACGACCCACTGTCTGTCTCCAGTCCTTGCAACTAATTTTAGCAAATCGTTAAAGGCTTTTGCTCCTTCAGCGGCAAAGTAGTCTAGTCCTTGAAGTGACTTTCTTACTGTAGCGGTACACGATGACAATATTCGTAACATTGTGGACGGGCTGAACGGAGAAAAATTCGTCTCCAAGCAGAACTGGTTATACTGATCAATTATGCGCTGTGGTATCATGGACCTTATCACGTTAGGTGTTTCGAGTACCTTGCCGTTTGATAGGTACAGGTAGCGTTGGCCAAACGGTAGATCTTGGACCACGTGGGGACTGGTAATGAAGCTTAAAAAATGATCGAGCTGGATTTCGTCTACCCTGAGTCTAGGGCTCTTGGCGGCAGGCAAGGGAACACCGCGTCCATGCTCGATGGAATGTTGGCGAGCTACTTTGATTCTGTAGTCGGTGATGCCAGGAATAAATTGCTGCAAAACAGAGTACGGTGTCAAATCAGCCATTATTGACAACACCTGTCGGCGGGTGTCCCAACTACTTGCATTCTGATAGGTCTCTGCTAACGCTTCCAGGTACTTCTTATCCAACGGAGATTGATTTTCTGTGCCCAAGGCTTTTTCTACAGACTGTGAGCTTTTCATTGCTTCCCATAGGGCTGCCGGGTTTCCAGGAGAAATGACCTCTAACGACGCAACGACAGCATCTTTTGCTTTAGATACGCGAACATTTTTAGTTCGCGTGCTTAGTTGCTCCCAACTTTTTTTCGGTTGATTCACAGTTTCCCTGCCACATACACTTAAAAATTCATTCAGCTTTAAGCGACGAAGCGTTTGGTTTTCGATTGATGAATCATTCGCACTACCGCTGCTGCTGCCGGTACTTTCTGTAGCGTAAGGGCTACTGTCGAACGAAACAAGTTCGAGGTTTTTCATGGCTTGACTTAAACCAGAGGTACTTTCATTGTCCTGAAATATAAAAGAGAAAAGAAGAAAAGAGAAAGCCAAATTAAGAAAGAGAATAATAAAATGATATAAGGAGTTAAGAAGCTATAAGCGACTATCACGGTAATACAAAATAATGACAATGACGATGATTGGGCCGATGATAATGATGAAGATGATGAAAACTGTAGCTTTTATTTTAAAAAAAAAATTTAGTCATCGATTTAATTCTACATGTTTTGAACTGCAAAACAAATTGCAGATCTAATTTAAAACAATCCTCCTTCCTCCATCTGTTTCTTTGTGTGCATGTGGTTTTTTTTCGTTGAGGCCCCAAGAAGGAGCCATTTGAAAACTGTTTCAGTTCCAAATCCTGTCTCTGATTCTGATGATTATAATATATTACCGAGTCAGTTTCGTCAGTGTCAACAACTGACAGGACCTTTGCCTTTGCTTGTTGGACTTTGAAAGAAACATCCTCTTTTGAAATGGACGGTGATGAAGCAAATGATGTGCAGACGTCTCGTTTCTCTTTTGCGATTGGAGGGGGGACATCTTCTTTTGTTTCACACGGGGATGAAGGTGCCCCTGATGCAAGCACCAGCCGACATTTTTTACAAATGGCTAAAATTAAAACAGAAAAATAACAACTCATGAGTACATTTCCCATCTTCTTTATTCAGCGATAAAATCTGCGGAATATCCATTTCAGCCTTCGTGAAATAACGCAGTGGAATCTCCATAATCACTGCAAATTTGGTTGGTGTCTGTAACACAGCGAATGTGGTTTTAATCACTGATTTAGACATGCATTTGACCCCCATCGAGTTAGGATTTGGTCATAAAGCTTTTTGTTCATGCAGCTAATTGTTTCTAAATTTTAAGTACCAGTCCCCAGCCTACGCCACAGACCAGACTTAACATCTAGCCGGGTTTCTTTTTCGGCTGCATACGCAGCTCCCAGGGACTAGAGGATTGTGCAATTCTTAGCATTATCTTTATTACTTACGAGACGCAACTGGAACAAGCACTGAAGTGAGCCTAAAGATCCTTTTACATTGTGGTAGGGTGATACCCCGATCTCCCTTGACTTGTTTACTCTTATGCGCCGCCCAGTCTTTTGGAGCGGAACATGTTCTTTTGCCGCTACGCCATCGTATACCAAAGGCGTCTCGATGTCGTGGACAAATCGACATTTTAATATGATTATCATCGACTTCGAAAATCCCTGAAACAAAATGTACAAAGAAGCCGCAGTGAATTCATGTAGCAATCCTGTGGTAATCGCAAAATGTGTTTGCTGTTAGTATCAACAGTTAGTAAGTCAAATTCCGGAACTACGTTGCTGCCTTTGAGAGGTCTTTCGAGTTGCGGTGCCACGCATAAACAAATTAATATTAATGAATAAAATAAAATAAAACGAATGACATATAATAACAAGCGGTAAAAGTGCATCAACTTGATCAACTCATCGGAAAGGCTTTATTTATTTACAGTGCAAATCAGTTACCTGCTCTTGCGAGAAGAAGATCTGCTTCCGTTTTCAAGGACGAATCAAAGCAGTCATATTGGTTTAAGTGAGACTTGACGTCTTTTGTGCATTTGTCTAGTGCTACACACGTTGCATCTGCAGGATTTGAAGGGCTAGCTCCACAGGGCCCTCCAACAAACGTGGAATATCCACACGATGCCATACGTCAACGAGTGTTGGCTTCAACTCGGAAGCAAGGTGGCTTTGGTACTGGCTCTAAGAATTACTCAACTATCACACGTTTACTTTGAAAAAAATTTTTCAGGGTGGAGTTTTTCTTATCTGATTTATCTGAAAGCACTTTTTAGACTTAAAGTAAATATTTCAAGATCAGCAGACGAGATAACCCAAGATAGCAGACAACAACCTCGTTCCCAGGTTCTCTCTCCTACTCTTCGAGCAGACAGCACATGTGGTATCTGGTCCTGGTGCTATATATTTTTGGGTTCTAAAGTTTCGCAATCAGTCCCTTATACTTTCGATCAGCCCCCTGATTTATCATTTTCACTTTGATCATTGTTTAGTTTCAGGGAGGGTTTATTGCACTGTGCAGCACAAATCTGACTTACCCCACACCCATACAACTGACATTCCTCTCCCCAGTCCCCACAGCTGTGTGTAACGCATTGTCCTATTGCTCCGCAACAGATGTGAAGAGAACGTGTATTTAGCGGTTTTATTTCCAATACCTCTTCAGTTTTTGACAGATAAGTAATATATTTAGTCATATATCCTTATGTAAGCTGACGTGGGCTAAATTGTTCTTTTTAAATGAGCAATGGATAGTATTGAAACGTGTTGATCTGTGCCGTTCACGGCTGTTAATTCATTGAACAGCAAACGGATTTTGACTGTTAACGGGTTCATTTAAGTAAAAAACTGGCGAAACAGATGCAAATAAGTCGAAAATAATAAGTATTGTTCCTTTGCAAAGAGATTTGGGGGATTTTGGCCATTCTTTGCCCCAAAGAGCATTTTTGTTGATTTAACACCTTGGCATACCGTGACAAAAGTGGCGTGAATTTGACCTCAAGGGCAACTTTCATTTGGCGCTGGAATATTTTCCCCGTTGGATTGCCCAAAAATTTTATTGCATTAATTTGAGGAAGACACCTTGCTCTTTCTATCTGTAGGAACGTTATGCCTCAAAGCCGTATACCAAGAAGTGATTTTTGAGTCCGAATTTTGTCAATATTTTGTCTGTCAAAAATCAGCAAATTAGGTAAAATAATTAAAAATCTGAAAAATATCCAGTTTGTTGTCGAATAGGAAAATTTCACATTGAAAATATTATTTAATTTGCACTCTTACTACTGAGGTTTTCAGAAGCAGAGTTTGTTTCTTCTTTAATTTTTAAACGATTTTTAAGTAATGCACTGTCTTTAGCCGGTGAAACCCAACCTGTGAGCCCCGGAACCGACTCGGTCGCCGCACGCGTAAAAGAAAAATCTAATCGAACTAAAAGTTATTTTTCTAGAAATAGTTTACCTAGAGCTATATTCTGACAAAGTTTGGGGATTTTCGATTTTTTCATTTTGCACGCCCCCAGGCGATATTTACGGACGGCCGCTCTTAACAAGGTTAAGTGATTTCTGTTGTTTCCCACAATAGCTGTGGTCACACTACAGACTTTTTACCTAGGTAAACACGACTTGTTGACAGTTTACCTAGGGAAACTTGATTTTTTAAGTCTGACCGATTTTTCCCCAGGTAACTTACCTCGGGGAAATTTTATCGTCTGGGTCTTGGATATGTCTCGAAAACAATAGAGTTTCCCTTGACAGCTACCCCAAAGCAATAGCTAGGGAAAAATGAAATACCGAGGTTGCTAGCCAATAGACGCTCATCGGCGAAGGTCTTGATGACAGAACCGGACATAGATCACGCTGTGAAAGAAATTTTGGGAGCACGAGTCGTCTACTTCTTCGCCTTTCTTCACCTTGCACCTTGAATTAGCGTCAGAAATAACAGCGAGATAAAAGAAAAAAACGTCTCTTTGATCAGCTAGATCCCTGCGCATTTTGCCTTCTTGAATTTACGCTCCAAAAAATTCAACTGGCGTGAGCCGATATCAGTAGTGTGACCTTCCCAGAATTTTTACCTAGGTAAAACAAAACCCGAGATGAATTTACCTAGACAGATTTTTGATGAATTTGCCCTAGGTAAATTGGTTTTACCTAGGTAAAAGTCTGTAGTGTGACCACAGCTAATGACTGAGCTTTCAAAACCTAAGTATTAAAAGTCAACGTCCATAAAATGACAATTGAAAACAATTATCTTATGGACAGGTAAAAAGTTTTTAAAATGTTATTTAGAAAAAGAGAAAAAGAAAATGTTATTGAGAAAAAGAGTAACATTGCAAGTGACTAAAGATATCATGTATGCATGCGTGTACGTGATTTGCACGCTATTAAGGAAGTCCAAGCATTTAAGATCATTGAAACTCTAGTAAACACGCATAATTGTCTTAAGTTTCAAATTTCTGTAAGCGCAACATACAGTCGCAATGATAGTAGCTCTCGTCTGGCTTTAGCAGTGATTAGATGGTTTTTGAATGCCTGAAAAATAAACAAACAAACAAAGAAACAACAAAAACAAAAACTGAAATAAAGCGGTCTTCGAATAGATCACCTTGCGATATATTTCGGTATAGCCGGCCGTATAGTTCTCGTAGTGGCAAAGTTAGACTTTCGAAAAACTGTCTTTCAAAATGTTTTAACACTCTTATTTAACCAAGATCGCAAGCTGGATATTAAAGTTTAAAAAGTTCACATCAACTGGATTATTGTTGCATTTGCCGGGCTGAATTAGCAAAACGGGTAACGTTGCAAGTGACTAAAGAAAGAGTGCCGATTCATGTATTTGATTTGCTAATAAGAAATTTTAAGCATGAAACTCCAGTTAACACACAAGATAAGTCTTCAAATGCAAATTTATGTCAGCATGCACCTTATACACAATGACTATATATATAGCTCTCATTGCTTTTTTTGTGATATTAAATGTTTTAAAAAAAAGCCAGTCATGAGTGGGATTCGAACTGATCACCATGCGATACAGCGGTATAGTTCTTACGTATCTAGGCTTTCGAAAAAGTGTCCATCGTCCTTTGATGAGTAAAGAATAAGATGATGATGATGGTGATCGTGATGATGATGATGGTGATGATGATAAACTTTACATATTTATACACGGTTAAAATATTCGTATAATAATAAAAAATGAATAAGTTCTATAAACTGTTTTACATGATTGCCGTGTGGGAGCATGATCAGCAAACCGAGAGTGAACTTTCCCTCAAAGTCATCTGATCTAGAGAATTTGCTGTGCGTACGTACATCCTCAGGAAGATTGTTCCATAAGTAAGCACCACGGTAGCACAAGCCACCTCAGACCGCTTTACAGTAATCAAAGCATGGTTCAATAAGACCTTAGCATATCATAACTTCAGTGCGCATAGAAACAAATGGCTCGACTCGCTTAAGCGCACCAATGTTTGAAGAGGCTTTTTTTGAAATGTCATGTTGGTGGGCCTTCCAAGAGAGATTATCGTCCGTAAGTCCAATAGATTTGCTATGAGTTGTTTGGTTTTACTTGGACGCCATCTTCATAAATGTTTATTGTGTACTCATTTAAAGATTGTAGTTTCTGCCCCGAGCTAATAATCATAGACTCTGTTTTGGCGACATTGAGACTTACACTGTTAGCTTTAAGCCAGAGACCAATATGTTTCATTTAAGTATTGATCTGTAATTCGAGATCAGGTATGATAGGTGCAGAAAATGTAATGTTAGTGTCGTCCGCGTACATTCAAGGAGAACCAGCATTCAAACAGTTTGGAAGATCATTATGTAGATCAAAAAGAGAAGGGGGCCTGTCATTGACTCTTAAGGTACAGTGAAGAGGACTCTAACTAGATACACAGTCTTTGCAAGGCATCTTCGATGTTTAACAAAGGTCGCAATGGTTTATGGATTAGACGACTGGCATTAAACTGAATGTTTAATCTATTCATACCTTGTTCAATCAAGGGGATTGCTTTGGGCATTGGGCAATTACGCTTTCGGGAAGCTGTAATATTATTTGGCGGTCACTATAAGCAAGTCATTGCAGTGAGTTTCGTATGCCCAAATGCTCAGGGCCAATTGGGCCAATGACCAACTCTCAAACCAACCTTTGACTGAATTAGATATATGCGGTGCCTGCAATACAAACCTAAGCGACGCACTTGCACTGCCACGTTGATTCTAGTCTTCTTTGTTCCCATAATATTAGTAGCCACGCATTCATAAAAACCGCTGTCATCAGGACTCAAGTTGTTAATGGTAAATATGCCTTGGTTTATACTGGTCTTTCCAGCATGTAAAGGCATTGCTGCTCTAGTCCAGTTTATTGCGGGGCTAGGATATCCTTCAGCTTGACAAGTTACTTGAAACGTCGAACCTTGTACTGGTGTGGCAATTGAGGGTGGAACTTTTGTGAAGATTGGAAGACCTGAAATAGAGCCGAAAAATTAACAGGATGCACAATAAATTGAACAGCTAATATTCGTTTCTTTTCTGGAAACCCTTTCAAGCTCCATGCCCTTAAATCCACATTTCGCTAAAAGTGTTACTGATAAACTTTGTCATAAGCAATGTTTAACTACATAGCCGAAAAGGGAGCAAAAGAAATGTATTAATTCAGAAAGATAGGTGAGAGATGCAACAGTTGTGTAGGATATTGAAGGTCAAGACTAATTAAAGAAAACACCTTGAAACAAACTCAGAATTCATCATGTAGGAAGGTCATGCATTGAGGTAGTTTAATTACATTGAGGTAGTTTAATTAACGATCAAGAAAAAGCCAAATTGGAAGAAATGAAACAGTGATGGAAGGATCGTGTTGTGTGCCTTCGCCTACATGGTGAAGATTGTCATCTGTTATTGTCTTAAACGTAAATTCTTAAAATATCTTTACGTTTGCATGGCTCAGGTTAAACCTTGAACTTCAAACTTGACTAGTGGCTAAGAAATACGAAAAATGGATGAATTGAAATGAAGGACGAGATAAAAGTACACGATTAAATAACAGAGCACAAACAGACCTACATAATCAAGCAGCCAGATATAACAAAAGTACAGTGTTCCGCTTACCTCTAACAGTCAAGTTACTAATGGCCTCGGACGATCCGAGAATGTTTCTGGCAACACATGTGTACGACCCAGCATCGCTGTAATTCAGATTTCTAACGATCAACTCTCCTTCTTTAATCAAGTACTTTGCACCTGACAGAAGCGTTCTACCCATAAATTGCCATTCCACGACTGGGGAAGGATTTCCTGCGACCGTGCAATAAAATGCCGTGTCTCCTCCCTCATCTCGTGTCTGCTCTGCTGGCGACAACATCACTTGTGGAGCAGATATCGATTTTCCAGGCCTTCCAGGTGGTCCCGGCATGCCTTTTAGCCCAGGCTCCCCATTGCTTCCCTTTTCTCCTCTCGGTCCTGCAGGACCAGTTATTCCTGTTTTTCCGGATTTTCCAGGAGGTCCCATGGGAACTTGAGGACCTTTCTTTCCCTTTGGTCCCCTCCTACCACGTGGTCCCCTCGCTCCAGTGAGACCAGGATATCCGGGGGGTCCTGCAGGACATACTTTCTCACTTGACTTACAGTACTTGGTGGGCATTAGTTGTTCAAACTGTTTGCTGATTTCTTTTCTCACTTCATGTATGGTGATGCCAGATGAAGCGTTGTTCAAAACGTTTCTTCGCTGTCTTAACCGGATGGTTGCTGATGCCTCTAATGACAACGGGCTGACTGCAGTCAAGTAAGATTAAGAATTTTATAGTATCCAGTGATTAATATTAAAAAAATGTATAAGAGAGAAAACGAACGAATCAACGGAATGAATGATAAGGTTGACATTTCTAACATAAAGTTAAACGGTTTAGAGGTTGCGTTCTACAACAAGGTTAACACATTGCAACCAACTTCTTAATTTGTCCTCACGCCTCTTCCCTTGTTGCTTCTAAGGGAAAGCCAAGCTGACATTCTAGATTTTCGATCTACGCACACATTTCAAATCAACTGAGACCGTTTAATAAACGTACTTTCAATCTTGCCACCCTATCGAAGTTATCAAAGGTTTTATCAAGTACGCTGGCGGGCCCTAGACTCCTTAACCGAACTCAGTCTAGAGGCACATCTCTCAAATTTTACGCCACCCTAACAATTTTATTCAGACAGTGCTATTTGAGACCAATTGTCCACACCCGTTTTCAGACCATGCAGACCTCTAAAATCCATACCCGTTTTCATACCTGGCCTTTAGACGGAAATTGTGTCATCATTTACTTAGATTAGAGCGCAAACAAAAAAATTCTTCAAATGCATTTCGAATTCACATATTTCTATTTCGTTCTTATTCATGTGGAACTGAAACGATAACTACGCCATGCATACGCTCCAGTAGGTTCCTCGAAAACCAAACCCGATTCCAGACCAAAATGACCTACGTTTATACCCGTCTTCAGACCAAAAAGAGCCAAGAACTACACCCTTTGTGGCGGCACATAATTATATGGCTTATATAAAGGAGTACCCCCCTGAGTATTGACCACATATCTTGCACGTGAGTAAGTCGTGCAACACTTAAACTATGAATTCAACATCATTTACACCGTGAGCAAGTCGTTCGACACTATTCAACATCGATCATTTACACCGTAAATTTCTTTATTGTTTTACCAGTATAGGTGGCTTAGTGAATATCTAAGCAGTATTACAACAGAGCGAGAGTGTTGCAAAAGGGTATATACAGTGTTAGTTGAAGTTCAAAATTCAATTATCTTATGCAGTATCCAAAGATACCGTATGTAAGGGCAAACTCACACTATGAAAGATTATACCTAAATCAAAAGAGGATAAACTCAGTTCTAAACAAGTATCTGCATCTAACTAACATCTGAAGTGAAGATATTACCTGGTGTATAACCGATCCTTTCGGATACATGTGTCTGAACCTTCTTATAAAGATCTCTTGCTGTAGCTTCTGTCGGTGAAAGAGATATCCTGTCAGTATTTTCAGTCGAGACACTCTGAACGCAGGGGAAAAGGTTAACGCGAGATTCCAGCGCTATCAGTCGTTCGTTTGTTGTTTCATTCTTCACCCAGAGACATCCGCAAACGAAAACTAATACAACAGAAAGAAACGATGGTCTTATTGACGGAACAAAATCAAGTAGACGACGAGAGGACGGGGAGTTTGACGATTTCATTTCTGCAGCTTGCCAATCGTCCCATGCACGGAAGATGGAGGTGAGTGGGAAACTTGCCAGTAAATTTGATCCTTAAAAATTTCGCCTAGAGAAACATGTCATTAAGGTTGACGTAAAAAAAAAACAAGTCTTTATAGGGACGGCAAGGGGCCACGCGCGGACCATGAAAACCTTAATGGGGGAGGTGGGAGGAGAGGTACAAAAATATAATATTCGTGCAAGGGAAAACTAAATGAATAAAATTAGAGCACTCCAAGTAACGCCAAAAAATATTCATGCTCTGGCCTAAGAAAATTAATACAAAGAAAATGCTAACGAAAAAAATTCATGCTTCTTTCCTATTGGTCTGTCCCGAATTAACTTTCTTCCTCACGCCTCGTAACAATATCATTTTCATTAGAGTGATTTCTCTTGCATATTGGGTGATATTATTAAATAGTGGAAACATTTCCTTGCAAACTGGCCCGATTACCTAATTATTTACCGGCAATATATGCACATCATACGTTACAATCTTGGACAAAAAGTGTTGAGATTTTGCACTTTCGAACCGCGGATTTGGTACCAGTATGGCCCCTCCCCTCGCCCCACCCTGGTCAAATTTGTTTATTCGGGATCAGAAATGATCCAGCCGGGCTTCAACATTTTTTTTTTTTTTTTTTTTTTTGGGGGGAGGAAGATTGAGTATCTGTAGTTGCCAGCGCTTTCAAGCTTTATCTTGAAACCAGACGTAGTATCGTCCATTTTTCCCAACATTTTTTTCAAGATTGTAGATGTGTTAGTACTGAGCCAGTTATACAACTATTTTGATTAAGATTCTAGTTGAACGTCACTATGTTTATCTTGTATAGTTAAGGTTAAGGGCGACAGACTTAGCCGCCCCTCTCTAAGTGCCAAAAAACGCTGATATGCGGGTTAAATAACTCATTGTCCATTTTTGTTGTATTTACAATGACAGCTGCTTGACACGGTCTTTTACTAGCGCATGTCGTTTGTTGGCAGTGTCTTAGATATAAGTAAGTCTTTTTTGTATTGCTTATACATACGCGCGACATAGAGTTCCCCAAGTAGCGCACCCAGGGGGGAGGGGGGGAGAGATAACTCTATTGTTTTCAACCTAAGTTTCTTTACCCACTCTGCCTGCCAGTATGACGTTATATAGTAACGGGCAAGAACCTCGGGTCGCTTGTGCAAATTAGCAAGGGATACGACAGTTATTTGGACGAGAGAGGTTGAGGAAAAGCTAAGAAGCTAGCAAATATCGCTATATATCGCTAGTTTGATCGAATGAGTGTGCGCTTTGGTGTTGCTATATATAATCTGCTGACACAGAAATCACGGACACAAAATATCAAAACGGTTTACACAAGCAGATTATAGCAACACCAAAGCTTGCACTCATTCGACCAAATTAACGATATATAGCGATATTTGCCGGCTTCTTAGCTTTTCCTCGTATCCCTTCTGTGGGAAAAACTATGTTACGATAATTATGCAAGTCCAATCGAATTCAAAATCTCTTAGTGTTGATAAGTGAAGTTAGGACATAATTTTAAACTGCATATTAAAAATGTGTTTTGTCAAATTCCGCGAAATTTCATTGCCTTACGTACGAAAGGGCGCACGAGAACGGCTCCCCTTATTTCCCGCCTTCCCACCCCCTCGAAACACCTGCCACGCAGGCTAAGAAAAGCTGAAAACCGTCAAACAAACAAACAAGAAAACAGAAACTAAAAATAAAAAAGTGATCAGGTGGCATTAACTTCATGAATAAACCCTGAGTGTGTTTTTTAGTGTTTTTTTGTTGTTGTTTTGTTTCAAACTTTAAAGTTTAGTGTTTATACTGAGTTAAATAAATTAAGCTCAATTACGTTTTCTGAGACTAACCTGTACGCTGTAAGGAGGTAGCTTAAAGAACCTCTCGCCCAGCCTTTGTGCGTTTAAAACGTAAGGGCACGACACGAAAAGAAATGCTGACAAGGGTTCGGCCATGTTGTTCCTTTTGTGCGCACTCACGATATTGGTTTTTACTCCAATGAAAAGCTTCTAAATATGTTGTCGTGGAGCCAGCGATTCACTAATGAAGATACCACAAAGTACCTGTAAAGAGTCAAAGCGTTAACACAGTTAACAGCCACAGAAAGACGGAGCGATGGCTTGATTTGTTGAACGAAAGACTATAATTATGTCCATTATTATAAAAAATTGGCTCCAATTTTTCATAAACAGTTCCACAGTTTTGAAGCTGATCTAACTAGAGAGTCTTTATTTGGGAGACCACAAATACATGTAAATAGAATGATGTACCAATGCCGTGAATTACTTGCGTAAATCGTTAATTTTTTCTACTCCGGTAGCTAGACGTCTTCAAGAATTAAAATTTCTCTTGGTTATTCTAGTTGCCAGTGGTTCGGCAGCTTTGCCAAGCGTTGCACGATATCCGATAGTCATTATTGCAGTTATCTTCAAGCTTGTGGGCTTTTAAGACGACATGTCAGTGTAGTAAAATGCGATAATTTAAATCAATTTGCGCCACCTTTGCCATTAGCGTCTTTATAGCAAGGAAATAATCAGTTTTTACTTAATCATTTATTAATTGACAATAGTCAAACTTCCCAGTAGGGTATATTTTAATGTATATTTGGTATGATAAATTCGCTACATTGTTCTGACATTTCTTAGAGCTGAGTCCTTTTATTCGATCGTTGGTAGATCGAACAGATTGAGCCTGAGGGGAAGCAAGGAAGCCTACTTTAAAAGTATGCTACTAATTTTTCCACTTTTAACAGTTAATCAGTTAAGCTAAAGTGGTAGAAAAAGGCTAAAATACTTTTAAAAAACGAGCCTTTTTGACCAAATTTCCCCCATTTGGTAAATAAAAAAGAATGAAGTGGGTTGTATAAGGGCTTACTTTTTTGTAGATTTGAAAGCAAGTCGTAATTTCATTGCAAATTTCTACTCGAGGTACGTGTCCGTAAAATTTGATACTCCTTGAGGGAGCCCCGAATCATATTTTTTTTTTTTTTTGGTTTTTTGCTTTTCCTTTAAGTGTTCAGTTCCACTTTTTCTCCCATATGTTACCATCTAGTAAATGGAAAGTAACAAATAATGAGGTACAGTTGACTCTCTCTTAACGGACACCTCTGTAAGACGGACACCTAGAGTTGGTCCCTGCCTTTCTTTCCTCCCTCTATTTGACTCTCTATAAGACGGGCATCTCTCCAAGACAGACAGCTAGGTGTCCGTCTTAGAGAGAGTTGACTGTATTTAATAAGGATAACTAACTAAGGCGCTACGAGAAATACCTTTAACTACCGTTTATAAGCCCTGGGCTTATACAATTCTTAAGGGGTTTTAAGGGGTTTTAACTTCAAATTCGAATTCGCTTCAATACAAGCTAGAGGGGGGGCTAATCCGGGGAAGGTTTTTTTTTGTTACAGGTAGATGGGTCTATAACTGGGGTCAGTTGGGGGGGGGGGGGAGGATGGGGCTATAAATGGGAAAGCTTATAAGTGGAAGTTTACGGTATGTCTCAAAAATGACACGACCTAGTGGTTAAGTTCCCTTTTTTACGCATCAACGTGACTATAACAGTCGCAGGCACATAACACAACAAAATTTGTTGTTTCTAATTGTGGGTTTCTAAGGAACCGCAGGTCTATTGTAGATATCATGAACCCAAAATCAGAAGAAATTGCGCTTCCCTTTTCGGAAATACAAAAACGGATGTTTAAACTAAACAGTCTGAATCCATGGATGTTCTTGTGCGCGCCTTGATCACACAAAACAGGTCTTCGTTTCTCTCAATGGCCGGCGACTTTGGACTTTTCGACACACATAATAGTTCTTAAAGTCGGATAATAAAATAATACCTTGTGGCCTTCCATAAAAATATATAGGAGCTTAGATATCAATAGATTGAAATACCTACATTACGACTAAAAGTTTTATGATTTTTGTTGAGACAACTACTTAATATAAATAATTACAACTTATTATATATAATTAGCCTAAGTCATAAATTTACAAGACAGTAAGCGCAAAACAAGTAACCTTGTAATGTATTTTTCTATGATTATTTACAGATTAATAAAAGACTGTAACTCAGTCTTTTTTATGGGCATGCGTCCTAAGCAGAAGAAAGTTGACACCAGCGCAAGGAAACAGGGGATTATAAAAGCCCCTAAAACCACTGAATTAGTAAAGTCTCACAAATGAAGAAGCAGGTTCGTAAACAAAGAATTAAATAAGTATGTGTAATCAAATGGAGACGAGTGAAATTAGGGAATAATTTAACGCTCGTTTTGTCCAAATCCTTATAATTAAAGGCGAGGGAAATTTCGGGAAATTATCAGGATTTGGACAAAACGCATGTGAAATTATTCCCTAATTTCACGAATATACCAATTGATTACCTATTAATATCATAGGTGACGAATTACGTTAGCAGTCTTGGATTTTTGACATGTTTATCCTGCATCGTATCGATCGAGAACTCCACTCTCTCGAACGTTTAGAGCTTAAATTTGGCTTACGTTCATAATTTTTTGACAAAATACTTGTTAGAATCCTTCTTGATGTGCTCCTTCGTGTGTTCAGGTTTTCTAAAGCGTCTTTTATGCCCTGGCATCTTCACTCATGACATTTTAAAACTTCGTCGCCATCTTGACACTGAGACGTACGGAAGGTTGCCATGGCAATTTTGTAATTTCACATGTGAAATTACAAATTATCGCTGAAATTTCGCACCAAAATTAAGGAGTAATTCGTCACCTATGATATTAAAGGCAATACTCAGCGGCGATATTGTCAATGTTCATTCATGATCCTGCAAACGGAGTCTTAACAACAGTATAAATAACTCTGGACAGGTCTCAAGATGTCACAAGACTCTTAAGACTAAGTTAAAGCATTGAGGTTTTCAATTGTTTTAAACAGTCCTCTTCAGCAGACTGATACAGTCTTGGATGTTGTCACGTGACTTATGAGTATTCAGTCACCCGACATAAAGTGTTAAACATGCGCGGGGTAATTCGAGAGAAACTGAGTTGTTTGTACATCATTGGGCCGGAAAGCTTCAAGTTATTGCCTGGGCCATCCCTAACACGCAACATGGATAGCTTAAGAATACATTGATACCTTTTCCAAAGAAGGCATTGGATTTTCCGAGACGCACTTGCCTTGCTTCCCAGGAGTAAATTAAACCATTGTGTAATATTTTATTAAATTGCACGAATTAGTATATTGATCCTGGCTGAGCTTGCAGAAAGTACAGCAATCATGCATTTGTCTCTTAACCTATTACATCAGTATAACCACATAACGTAAAGCAATACAGACATGATTCTTTTGAAAGATAAAAAATAAATAAATGACACGCCAACAGCAGAAAGGAAGCAATACAACGGTTTAAGGATGGTAACCAAGCACGGCTTGAAAACTATCTTCGCGCCGCTTCTCCCGACCCGACGAACAGCCCCCAGGTCTCCGAAGATGACCTTAGCGTACAGCTGATTGTAAAGATATCTAGTACATATCTAGAAGAAGTCCTAATCTGGATTCTATTGCAAAAAAAAAGAGATAAGGTTGACACTGGATTGAGCGCCTCAGCTACGTTAAGATAAATGATTTCCTTATTGCTATATCATTATTAATAATGACATGCGTAGTTTTCGCACGCACAACGTCCTCGACATGAAATCCCTTTTGTACGATCCAGAGTTCCTCAACTCATACTGAAGGACCTGATACCGTTCATCCTCTTGCACAGTAACGATACCGCCCTTCAGGTGACGGGTTTAACTCATACACATAAAACCCTTGACACTCCCTCACGCGTATCTGAACTATCCTGTAACAACAGTTTTCTCATCCGTGGAAGCAAGCTTTTCTGTCCACGATGCCATCTTTAAAGGTGGGGTGGCCACCTGTTAACCACCCAGTTACATCTGTAGTGCATCTGTGGACCTGAATACAATTGTCTACCATTCTTGAGTATGAACTTGATTGAAAGCGATACCAGCCGGGGACAAGATTGCCGTCTGAGTTAGTGCCTCGGCCAAAAGACTGGTGTCGATTGGGATGACTGAGGACGTTATAGTCCCGGAACTCTGGTGCATCTGAATTAACAAAAAAGCAAAAGAGTTCGGCTATTTTGTATTCACATATAACACAAAGCCGAGGTGAACAGCCTTAACTAGAAGCTTGGGTATCTAACAATTTGAGCTGGTTGTTAGTTGTTGTTGTTGTAAATATATCTTAATAGCTTGTTCATATCTCGAAAAGGTGCTTTTGTTCACTTAAAGTAATTCTACGTCAACTTACAGATTTCACACTCATCGCCAAAATATCCAGGAAGACAAGTGCAACTATACGTTCCATCTCTGAACGAAATAAGGGAACACATACCATTGTTCATACAAGGAACATTAGTACAAGGATTCTGCAGGAAAAAAATCATTACATTAAAACACAATGATTGTGATTATAATGGAAACAAACGTTCTACACTTCCTCATTATCAATGCTACCACTTTAATCCGAGAGCCTGTTAATACAACCAACAACCTTTACTGTTAGTAGCTTTTTTCGAACTTCTCGAGCTTCGTTTTCTTGGTATAGTTTGTTCTACCAGTCAAATGCATCTTTAGTGGAAGTAATAAGTAAAACAGTCAGTTACTAACAGTATTTAGAAAGTTCTTCGGGATTACAAAAAATGCCGGTTAACCGGTTTAAAAGAAACAAAAAAAATATAGAAATCGAACAACCAGACATAAAACTAAAAACATATGTGTTAAGTAGCTGAATGGAAGAATGAAGTAAAAACCCGGTCCGAGAGCCGAGAAACCAATAACCCCCCCGTACGTGGAAAATAATTATCGGATCGAAGCAAAAATTACATTTTTGTTAATAGCTTACCTAGTGCTACTTTGTGAATTTTTTTGAGAATTTTCGATTTTTCACTTTTGTAGACCTCTGGTCGATATTTACGGACATCCGCTCTTAAAATTGATGACGCTGATGTCGATCTGTCTTCGGTCACGTCAAAATCTCTTTACAATGCATTCAAAATGGCGAAACAAACTCCTCCATCTGCTGAAAAGAGGTTTCAGTAACCTGTGTACAGACGTCCCCCTCCCTCAGAAAAAAAATCGGGAGAAGAGACGACGTCTCTTCTCCCGATTTTTTCTGAGGGAGGGGGGACGTCTGTACACAGGCTAGGTTTCAGGATCAATTTCCTGATGTTCAATTTGATTGGAACGAAATATATTCGCTCTCCCTTAAAGTGTTGCTAAAAACAAAAATAAAGAATTCCAATATGGTTTTGAACAACATTGTTTCCACGAATGAAAAGTTATCTAAAATTAAGATGACTGATTCGCCACAATGTACCTTTTGTAAAAACGAGATTGAATCCCTTGAGCATCTGTTTTACAATTGCGAAATGACAAGATCTTTCTGAGTAGCGCTCCGTTCTTGGCTTGTAGAATATAACATTAATTTAAAACCTTCGTCAGTTTTTAATGTCTTATTTGGTATATTCAACGCAGGAGAAGATTTTTTCATTGTAAACCATCTTATTCTAGAGGCAAAGTTTCACATTTATCGCTGTAAATTAAATGGTGTTAAACCAGCAATGCGGGTCTTAAAAACAAAAATCGGAGCGATACACAATATACAAGGTAGAATACCATTTATGCGGAATACGGTAGAATTCCATGAAAAAAAATGGGAAAAAATCAAATGTTGTCTCAATTGAGTCTATTCCCCCCCGGTTTTCTCCCTGTCTGTTATTGTTATTTGTATATTTCTGTTGTCGAGCATACATATTGATTTTTTTTTCAGGATAAAGTGTAGTGTAGCTTCTTTTTATGTAAAGTAGTAACGCCAGTATCAAATTGTAATGTTTATGTAATGTTGTGGAGTCCTTAATAAAATCATTTCTTGCTTTAACAAATAAAAATAAAAAATAAAAAATAAATGAGATAGTGTTGCCGCATTAAGCCATTAGTAATCTTTATCTTTGATGATTAATATTTATTTAGTGGTATCGCATTAGGCACGCGGAACGAGTAAAACCAAACTTTGATCAGTGTTATCTCTTAAGACTCTTAAGTTTACTTATGGATTATTATAGCACTTATGAAGGCCAAGCCACAGTTACAAAACGCCAATGAGGACAGCCTGGTTCAGTAAAATCTCATTTTACCGCTTTTTTTTCAACTTTATATACTTTTTTGGAAGTTGAGATTTCGTTGCCCTCATGATAACGAAGTAACTGTTTTTAAGTGAGAATGATTCTCTCTTACTGTTTTCTGACAGATAACAGTCTAGCTGCCCCCAGCTAGACTCGTACCCAGGTGAAAAAAGATTAGGGTTGGGTTAAGGCCTACGCGGTGCTGTGAACAGCTTCGGCGATACTTTATAACACGCTTTTATCAGCCATTTATAGTCAGAGCAGTTGGACCAGTTATAGATATCAAAATCATTTCTCTTTTTGCCAATTCTATTTTTCGTTTGTTTGTGAAATGTCGTAGTATACGTTCTTATGATTGTGTTGTGATTTAGATATAAAGGGCTTGCTTAGTGCTGTACATTCGTTCCCCTTTAAGCGTCTACTTGTACAATTAGCTCAGCTCAAATATCAAAGCCGGTGTCACGCGCTATAATAATTAGGTTGTTTCGTAAAAGGTTTCAACTTCGTCTGGTGTGAACTTGTAAGTTCCTGCCAGGAATGTTAGTGCGAAGCTGCTGCCGTAGCTGTGTCCGCTCGGTGGGCTGTAATGATGGCCAAGGTTGCTGTAAGAATTGCTATTAGATGACGCGTAGTTGTTGATGTTAATGTCATATCCTCCTCCGAATGTAGGCCCATAGGATGAGTGAAAGTATATGGATTCTTTGCGATAACTATATTGCCCTGACTGAGACAATTTGACAGGCGCCCATCCTGGCTTGTTTACCAGCGAAAATAAGAAGGCTTTTGAGTCGTATTGATACCGGTAAGAACCAGAAGCTAAAAGAAATGAAACAAAACTTTTCTAAGATAAGTTAGCGACATTGTCCTTGTGCCTGTCATAATGATGACGATGATTATTATTATTATTAATTAAAAACAGTAAATACCTTATTCTCATAAAACCAATTCGATCGAGTTTCTCAGTAACGTTCGTCATTTATCAAAAAAGAAATCATTTTCTATGTCTTCTTTATTATTATCATTATCATTATCAATATTATTGTTATCATTATTATATTATTATTATTATTATTACTATTATTATTATTATTATTATTATTATTATTTTTTATCATCATTATCATCATTATTATTAGTATGAATATTATTTTATTGCATTATTATTTACGTCCAGGTATTTTGGTAAAAAATACAGCTATACTCATGGCAAGCGTGGTTCGTCCGCTCAGGAGAAAGTTTTATGTGGCTGCAAGCTCACCGAGGCTAAGGTGCCGGCCTGTGGGAGATGTTATCTTTAAAAGATTTGCAATTACAAGCAATAGATCGGGGAAAAAATTAGTAATTAATAAGATATGTTCTTTTATAAATTTATGGAGCAAATCTCCCAATTTATCTGTTTTTGTCTTTTTTACCACTTGCCGAAGCTAGAAGCTTCTTTTTTAACGTTTTTTTTTACATGAACTGGTGCATGTCCCAATACACTTTTATTGGCAAATTAATACTTCGTTCGATTTTGAGGGTACTGTATTAAGAAGACAATAAAGGAAACAGACAATAAAGAGTTTTAGGAGCCTTTATCCTTGAAAAGGTATAAAACATTATGTATTTCTGTCACCCATTTCAGTCTAATAAATTCGTTCGAATCCGAAGAGAAGAATCCTCTTCGCGACATTTCGCTCAGGCAAAATTACGAAAGTTTGATCGGTGAAATGAACTTTCGTCTTAGTGTATCACGTAATATACGTGGACATGTCAAAAGAGCGTGTTTTTTTAATCCTTTGCCAAAATTTGCGAATTTCCCCAAAAACCTGTGGTGAAGTTCGTTAGTTGCTACTTTTGCAATATGGGAACTGAGGGATGGAAGATAGCAGGGTAACAAGAAAGTCAGAACAATACTGATATTTTATAACCTCAAAATTATTATTATTAGCCTGGAAGTTGGGCACGTTTTGACAGGCTAGAAATACATTACTTATCATCTCCAGAACCAGAACTTGAGAAGTGGGGTGGGGGGTGGCGCTCATTCACACCATGTGAGTGTAGGAGGGGTGGTCCTCGCCCCTTGAGGAACGAGGGGATATGGGTTCACATCTAGAGCTATTAACCTAGAACCTTTGTACGCCAATGCTTAACCATGTATGAAAGGTAGAGTAACATGATTCCACACTGTTAAGTACCAAGCTCCACTTTTAGCTGATCATATGAATGTCAATTACGCCAAAGGTATAGATGGCACTTTCATGGATTACAATGCTCACTTACCCCATGAAATACTTGTGTATCCTCCGAAAATATATCTCCCGACCCTTATTATTGTTACAGTCGGGCCCTTACTGTCACATCGTGAGTGAAATGTACTTGCAGCCCAGCCGTCCACGGATGCACGCCAACAGCGCTTCCAGAGAGAATTGACGCTTTTTGTGACAGGTGCAAGCCCGTTGCTTAACGAGGTCAAGTGATTTTTGTTGTTTCCCACAATAACAGAGTCGTGCAAACCTGGGGAAAAAAATTCGACTTTCGCTATTTGACAAAAGAACGCTGTTGGAGCCAAGTAGAACTGTTTAAAAATTCAGCATCAAATGAATCCTTTATCAAGGGTAACATTGCGAGTGACTAGAGGCTAGATAGCAAATTTTAGGATTTATACTTAAACTCGAGTATAGGCTTCCCTCCTTCTTTCCCTTTAAACAATTGCTACACAAGCATATTCTGAGCCTTTAACAACGACACTGCTTTTTAACAATAAATAAAAGGCCATCACTAACGGCGGTCCTAAATGTTTTACATTCCACTTAAGTATAGACTGTAGTCTGAGTCAGCTAAGCCTATTAAAGTAGTCTTAAACAGGATTCAGGAACCCTTGGTCTTGCGATCTCTGTGACCTGTAACAAAGGTCACCAGACGCCAGTTGGGGCAAAACGTGGATAGCGCTATCCATCGGATAAATCTCTATCCAGTGGATAGTGCAATTGGTTTCCCTAATACTTATCCACTGGATAGTGATTTATCTGATGGATAGCGCCATCCAGCTTTTGAACAACTGGGGCCTGATGTTTATGTTCCTAAATGTTTAATTTATGTCTGTGCGGACCTTGCAGCCTAAGACAAACCTGCAGCTGAGCTACGCTGCACTGCCACGTTGACCCTAGTTTCCTTTGTTCCCATGATGTTAGTAGCTTTACAGTCGTATAAACCGTTGTCGGCAGGAATCAAGTTGTTAATGGTAAGTGTGCCTTGGTTTATTTTCGTTTTTCCAGCAGGTAAGGGCATTGCTGCTCTAGTCCAGGTTACAACGGGACGAGGATAGCCTTCAGCTTGACAGGTTACTTGGAATGTAGTGCCTTGTACCGGTGCAGCAAGTAAAGGTGGAACTTTTGTGAATATTGGAAGACCTGAAAAGATAATTAATATCAGGTTGAAATACTACAACTAATTGGACGACACCGGGGAGGAGAAGGGGGTACTCTTCAAAGAATTATACTGGGAGGCTCCGCCCCGAGGTCCAACACTATATGTAATTTTCAACAGAAAAGTTTGCCTCTTTCAAATACGAGATTGGGAGATCAACGCACTGTCTTTAAAATGTGAATAAATCACAAAGGCAGAAAATTTTCTCGACTTTTTCACAGCCATAACATCCTTCCGCTAGCCCTTTTAGATCTTTTTTACAGACCGAAATGACAGATTTCCCTACACTATTATATACTTCAACTAGTAAAACACGGACCCTTTCAAATACCTGAAGCCTCAAAATGGTACCCCTTTAGCACGGAGTCGGCTCCCTACACAGGACATTCTAAGAAATACCCTCCGGGGAACGGCAGGATTACAACTGAGAAAAATGAAAAAATTAGGTGTTTTCTTTTCCGGGAAACTTTGTCAAAAAAAGGTTTGTTTGCATAACAGAAAAGAAATGAAGCGATGAAACCAATTAGTTATTAGCTGGCAAATCTGTCAAAGGGTTTTTTCAAGAAGTCGTAGTCTGGCGGCTACTAAAGCCTTAACCGAATTCTGAAAGCGTGTCAAAATAAAGGTCAGGTGAGGATAATGTTCTGTCAGTGTGCCTTCTCATCGTATAGTTTTCTTGAGATGTTTATGCGCCGTTCAACAACAAACCTCAAGAATGAAATGCTTCTCTCACCTCGAACAGACAAGTTACCAGTGGCCTCGGACGATCCAAGAATGTTCCTAGCAGCACATGTGTACGGCCCAGCATCGCTGTAATTCAGATTTCTAACGATCAACTCTCCTTCTTTAATCAAATACTTTGCACCGGACAGAAGTTTTATGCCCTTAAATTGCCATTCCACGACTGGGGAAGGATTTCCGGCGACCGTGCAATAAAATGCCGTATTTCCTCCCTCATCTCGTGTCTGCTCTGCTGGCGTCATCAACACTTGTGGAGCAGATATCGATTTTCCAGGCCTTCCAGGTGGTCCCGGCATACCTTTTGGCCCAGGTTCTCCTTTATCTCCCTTTTCTCCTCTCGGTCCTGCAGGACCAGTTATTCCTGTTTTTCCGGATTTTCCAGGAGGTCCCATGGGACCTTGAGGACCTTTCTTTCCCTTTTGTCCCCTCCTGCCACGTGGTCCCCTCGCTCCAATGGGACCAGGATATCCGGGGGGACCTGCAGGACAGACTTTCTCAGTTGACTTACAGTACTTGGTGGGCATAAGTTGTTCAAACTGTTTGCTGATTTCTTTTCTCACTTCATGTATGGTGATGCCAGTTGAAGTGTCGTTCAAAACTTTTCTTCGCTTCCTTAACCGGATGGTTGCTGAGGCCTCTAGTGATAACGGGCTGACTGCAGTATAGTAAGATTAAGAATTTTTTTAATATCCAGTGATTAATATTGAAAATAAATAAGGAAGAAAATACAACGAACAAATCAACGGAATGAATGATAAGGCTGACATTTCTAACATAAAATTAACGTTTTGGAAGTTGCGTTCAACAACAAGGTTAACAACTTTTTAATTTGTCCTCATGCCTCTTCCCTTGTTGCTTCCAAGGGAAAGCTAAGCTGACATTCTAGATTTCTAGATCTACGCACACATTTCAAACCCCGGGGGAAGGGAACTTGGGTAAATTTTTGCTGGGCATGTGCCGCTGGCGTCTAAGAGCCGCTACCCCATTATAGTCTATTCTGTGATCAATTATAGACCCTATATCTTAGTCACTTTTAAGCAAATATGAATTTTTCGCGATCCAGACTTAGTCACTTTTTATTTTTATGAATTGACCCATTTTTTTACACTGTATGAAGAACACTTCACTTTTCATCTACAGAACAAACATTCTGGTAAGTTTGCTAACCGTAAATAAGAACTGTCTTACCACAAAAAATCCGAAAATGTGCGACCCCATTCTGGTAATTCTATTGAAAATGCAACCCCATTATAGACAATCCAGCCGTGAAAATGTGGCCCTAATCAGCGGCAGATCCCTAGTAGCCTCTTATAAGGAAGTCCCTCCCCCCCGGGTTTTAAACCAACTGAGTCCGTTCAATAAACGTACTTTCAATCTTGCCACCCTATCAAAGTTACCAAAGGTTTTATTAAGTAACCCAGCAAGCCTTAAGACACCTTAACCGAACCGGGTCTAGAGGCATTTAAAAAAATATCTCAAATTTTACGCCACCCTAACAATTTTATTCAGACAGTGCTATTTCAGACTGAATTTTTCCACACCCGCTTTCAGACCATGCAGTCCTCTAAAATCCGCACCCGTTTTTAGATCTGGCCTTTAAACAGAAATTGTGTCATCATTACTTAGATTAGAGCGCAAACAAAAAAATTCTTCAAATGCATTTCGAATTCACATATTTCTATTTCGTTCTTATTCATGTGTAACTGAAACGATAACTACGTTCATGCATACGCTCCAGTAGGTTCCTCGAAAACCAAACCCGATTCCAAACCAAAAAGACCAACGTTTATACCAGCGTTTTCAGGTCAAAAAAGGCCAAGAACTACACCCTTTGTGGCGGCACATAATTGTATGGCTTTTAAAATTATACAAGAGTACCCTCCTGAGTATTGACCACATATCTTGCACGTGAGCAAGTCGTTCGACACTTAAACTATGAATTCAACATCATTTACACCGAAAATTTCTTTACTGTTTTACCAGCATAGGTGGCTTAGTGAATATCTAAGCAGTATTACAACAGAGCGAGAGTGTTGTAAAAGGGTTTATACAGAATTAGCTGAGGTTAAAAATTCAGTTATCTTATGCAATATCCAAAGATCCCGTATGTAAGGGCAAACTCACACCATGAAAGATTATATGCCTAAACCAAAAGAGGATAAACTCAGTGCTAAACATGTATCTGCATCTAAATAACATCTGAAGTGAAGATCTTACCTGATGTATAACCGATCCTTTCGGATACATGTGTCTGAACCTTCTTGTAAAGTTCTCTTGCTGTAGCTTCTGTCGGTGGAAGAGATATCCTGTCAGCATTTTCAGTCGAGACACTCTGAACGCAGGGGAAAAGGTTAACGCGAGATTCCAGCGTTATCAGTCGTTCGTTTGTTGTTTCATTCTTCACCCAAAGACATCCGCAAACGAAAACTAATACAACAGAAAGAAACGATGGTCTTATTGACGGAAAAAAATCAAGGAGACGACGACATTCTGCCGGGGAGTTCGAGGATTTCATTTCTGCAGCTTGCCAATCGTCCCATGCACGGAAGATGGAGGTGAGTGGGAAACTTGCCAGTAAATTTGATCCTTAAAAATTTCGCCTAGAGAAACATGTCATTAAGGTTGACGTAAAAAAAAAAAAAAAAAAAAAGTCCTTATAGGGACGGCAAGGGGCCACGCGCGGACCATGAAAACCGGGATGAAAACCTTAATGTGGGAGGTGGGAGGTGAGGTACAAAAATATAATATTCGTGCAAGGGAAAACTAAATGAATAAAATTAGAGCACTCCAAGTAACGCCAAAAAATATTCATGCCTTGGCCTAAGGAAATTAATACAAAGAAACTGCTAACGAAAAAAATTCATGCAACTTTCCTATTGGTCTGTCCCTAATTAACTTTCTGCCTCTCGCCTCGTAACAATATCATTTTCATTAGACTGATTTCTCTTGCATATTGCGTGAACTGGACCAAGGGAGATTATGTTCGCTGGCAAACATACTTTATTGAATAGTGGAAACATTTCCTTGCAAACTGGGATTACCTAATTATTTAGCGGCAATATGTGCACTTCATACGTTACAATCTTGGACAAAAAGTGTTGAGATTTGCACTTTCTTACCCACAGAACGCCTATCCCGAGGATTTGGTACCACTATGGCCCTTCCCCTCGCCCCACCCTGGTGAAATTTGTTTATTCGGGATCAGAAATGATCCAGCCGGGCTTGAACATTGTGGTTTTTGGTGGGAGGGGGGATTGAGTAGCCGTAGTTGCCAGTGCTTTCAAGCTTTATTTTGAAACTAGACGCAGTACCGTCCATTTTTCTCAACATTTTTTTCAAGATTGTAGATGTGTTAGTACTGAGCCAGTTATACAACTATTTTGATTAAGATTCTAGTTGAACGTCACCATGTTTATCTTGTATAGTTAAGGTTAAGGGCGATAGACTTAGCCGCACCTCTCTAAGTGCCACACAACGCATATGCGGGTTAAGTAACTCGCTGTCCATTTTTGTTATATTTACAATGACAGCTGCTTGACACGGTCTTTTACTAGCGCATTTTGTTTGTTAGCAGTGTCTTAGACATAAATGAGTCTTTTTTGTATTGTTTATACATACGACTTAGAGTTCCCCAAGTAGCGCACCTTACTTTGTTACATTACAAGTGTTTGATATCCGGACAGACTGAGCGGACCAGCCCTCGGGTTAGTATTTCAACGCATATGCGGGCGTACTGAATTGAGCTCTTGGGCAAGAAAATAACTCATTGCACCTTTTTGGTTTTATTTCCAACGACATCAGTTCAAGAAACAGTTTTTTTTTACTAACGCGTGCTGTCCGTTAATCGAATCTTGACTTGTGCTTAAAGCGCTCGATAACGTTCGCCCGCTTGCACAATAGCGGCTGAACCTTTCGGTAGGTGACGGGTTTAACTCATACACATAGTAACCTTGACACTCTCTAACGCGTATCTTAACTGTCCTGTAACAATAGTTTAATAATCCGTGGAAACAAACTTCGCTCCTCACGATACAATCCTCAAAGGTGGGATGCTCGCCATTCAGCCACCCAGTCAGATCAGAGCTGCATTTGCGAATGGGGATACAATTGTCTACTATTCTTGAATATGAACTTGACTGGAAGCGGTACCAGCCGGGGACGAGTCTGTTGTCTGAGTTACTACCATAGCCAAAGGACTGCTGTCGATTAGGTTCAGTAAGAACTGTATAGTCTCGGCACTGTGGTGCATCTGAATTAAAAAAAGGCAAGTGATGAGAAAACTATGGGCCAAAATTGAATGTCTAATTGAGTTCTGCTAGATTTTCTACTGTTAGCTACCCGGTGGGGGTACTCCCATACATTAGCTATACGTGTATGTGCCGCCCAACGGGGTCGTGATTTTGAAGCTCCTAGGTTAGAACGGGGTATCCATTTCAGAGGCGTTTTCTAGAGCGGGATATAATAAGCAAACTGTTGTACTCTTGTGGCACACTGTGTTTTAGCGTACAGGGCGGGCGTATTTTGGCGCGAGCCACGAGCGCTGACTCTGCCATCTTGGATAAATAGGCGCGGGGAAGTCTGGAACGAGTCCATAATGTACCCGAGGGAGATGGAGACGGACTCAAAAGAAAGGGACGGGGGAGGAGAAGGAAAATCGTTAGCTTACGAGCGTGGTTCTGTGCGTGGTGAGAGATTTTGCGTCATAATTAACCACATTGTATCCACACGCACAGGAAACGTACTCCGGATGATTATGAAGAAGCATTTATTTGATGTATAAGTCTAACAAATAAAGAAATATCTTAAAGAAAAAAAAAACAGGGCTATTTCAATTTACAAACTTTCTAGAACGGAGTATAAAAAATTGGCCCATTTCTAGAACGGGGTATCAGTTTTAGGGCGAATTCTAGAAAGGGGTATAAAAAAAATTGGCCCATTTCTAGCACGAGGTATCAATTTTAGGGAAAATATTTTTTAGAACGGGGAGCCAATTTGGAGTCCCGGGAGGCACATATCCACCCAAAAAATACCCAAGTGCCCCCCCCCGCCCCTTCCCGGGCAGCTAGCACACAATGAACAGCTGAACATGGAAATTGGCATGTAACGGGAAATACAGTATGGCAGTACTCCAAACCTCTAATTGTAAACATCTCACAGGCCATAATCCTCTGATTCGCTCTGACGAGGGCTAGTACTCGAAACTACCAGCTTCTCAATTCCCCACGCTGGCCAATCTTTTCTATAAACCTTTGAAAAAAACAATCTTTGTATTTCAGTACCCCACTGACGCTACACCAGCTTTTTTCAATCAAAACTTTCTCTTATCCTGGTGAAAGACAAAAGTAAACAGTTTCATTCACTTATAACACTATGAAGTACTTTTGACAATGCCAAAAAAAAACGGAAATATTTTGCAGGTAATTTTTAAGGGGTTTGTCATATTGCATGGTAACAGTGTTCTTTCTTAACTACCGATAACTCAACTTTTTTTATAAGATAATTACTTAATATTTAAAACAGCCGCTTCGCTTTTAGTAAATATATTCTTATTAATGACCTATTTACCTTAAACGTAAAAAAATGTATCGATCTAAATGCGCAAATTTTTCTCGATAGAGCAATGATTTTGAGATTATATTCTTCTTTCCTTTAAAGTATTTTAGATATTTTTACTTGATCACCTCCTTTTAATTAATGCTGCATGAGTAGGCTATCTTTAACTTGTAAATGAAAGTTCTTATTAGAGACTTTTGCGTTCTCTTCTTGTTCATTCAGGTGACTCCGTTTTTTACTTGGCTGTTAATGATTGTTAACTCCTGATTATGCAAGGTGCACAGCTGTGTCAGCATAAAATGCTGCACGATTCTAACCAAGAACCTGAAAACGCGAGAATATCTAAGAAGAGGCGCCAGTCTTTTATCGGATGTTTGCCTCAAAATGCCAATTTTTTATGCTCCAATCAAAAAGAAAAAGAGAAAACAAAATTAAAACCAATAAATAAACAAATACCAAAACAAAAATTGCAAAAAACCCAAATTGCACTCCGCTTCAATAGTAACTGAGTTTTTCAATAGCTGTGTTATTTATACCTTTTTTTTATCATCGTTTTGAGCGGTTTTTTATGTTTCACTCAATATGGCAGCGGTTCTTACTGTTTGAACTTTGATAACTGATCAATTACGAGACACACTTGCTCCCCCCCTCCCTCCCCCCATTATGCTACAAAAGAACTGAATAGAAAGTTATTTACATTGTCGATAACAACATGTTATCACAGTCTGCTAAACAGTGGGAGCCTTAAAATGTAAAATTTAAAACGAGACAGATTTAGCCATTAAATTCGGAACCAGGCAGGCAGTAATTAATTTCCGAATTAAACATTAAACAATTTTATTAGTTAGATGAGGTTTTTGTCATATTCGGCAGGAAAATCAAGGTCGAGGTAAGAGTTATTAATTGAGCTGAAGGCGGAAACTTACCAAGACCTCGATTATTCCGAATATCACAAAAGCCTCAACCAAAAATTGTTGCTTTGCACTATTTTCTCCTGTTTGAGGCAGTCTAACTGGTTCCCAGCCTGGTTTGTTCACAACTGAAAATAAAAAGGCCTTAGGATCGTATTGATCGTCCATTTTGCTTGCGTCTAAGAAACATGGAACACCAAAGGGTCATTATTTCAACTTCATTTTGAAAAATGAACAACTTTCTATTAACTATGCAAACTGAAACAAGATGAAAGTCCCTCGATTCTAATCAAACACTTCTAAGTTTGCAGATTTACACACTGGCTATTTTCTGTTGCATCATTTTAACCTTACCAGCGGCTTTCCATAATGAATGTATATCGTCAAAATTCTGGTAGAAAAATGACTTAAAAACAGATATTTTGGGTTCCTGTCCATAAGTATCCGAATCAATTCGAACAACTTGTTATTTTTTGGCTTATAGGCCTTAAAGATTTGAGAAAGTGATTATTTTAGATGATGTAGCATGTAATGTTTGATCTCACGAGGGCTGCAGCTTGCTTATTTTAAGACAATATCTTATTATAAGTAACTTTTTTCTTCACTGACTGAATGTTTAAGCCTATAATTTTAGAATACCACTTACTATAATATCAGTAGGCAACAGCTCTCGAAGAATACATTCAAACAACATCATTAACAAGATAGTAATTTAGAACATTAAGAAGGAGTGCGTGTCGAGATAGCCCTCCACAATAAACTGATTTAAGAGGATGACCAGGAAAATTGTAAAATTGTTTAGAGAAACCCTGTTGCTAGAAAGAAGAATTTGATTAGCACGTATCGCTAGTACAGGCTGTATGTTAAAGTAGACCGAAATGTTTACAAAACCGCTAACAAGAGTACCTCGATACATACTAATCAAATTCTTCTTTCTAGCAATCGGCTAGAGCTATCTCCATGATCTTTCTTTCACACACGTTTTTAAAAAATTGAAACTACTTTGAGGTACCCTGCGAGCAGAGGCTACATTTTCGCTGTGTGAGCTGTCGTGCAAAAGTAGCTTAAGTGAAATTGCATGTCAAACGTACTTCGTTTTCTACAGATAACAGCCTAACATCAATATTGTCCATTTTTTTACAGTATTTCTAACCATAAAATCTTCATTCCAAAATGTCTCGATAACGTTCTTGCAGATTTCGCTCAAACTATGTATTCAGTGTATTCGAGCCTAAGGCTGCGTGCAAACCGGCGCAACAACTCCCAACTTTGTTGCGCCAACAATGTTGGGAGTTGTTGGCTGAAAAGTTTGACCGGTTTCAAACTTTGAACAACAACACGCAAGAACATCCAACAACATGCAACAGGGTGTGCAAACGGACGCAACATGTAACATCCAAGGCAATGTTGGTAGTTGTTGGCCAACAATGTTGCGTCCGTTTGCTCGGGGCTTAACACATACTGCTAACAACCAAACTGCTCTATGTAATGTAACCATGTATCATCGAAGTTTGTGTTGTTTGGAGGTGATAAAAGGTTGCAAACCTGCCAAGGTGTTAAGCTTGTCATTGATCACGAAAACCTTGAGTGTGAAGATTCAATCAAGAATCTCAGGTGTTGTCATTCATAAGAATCTGACTTGGAATGAGCATATCGAAACATTGATTGCGAAAGTGAATCAAAGATTTGGCTTGTTAAATCGTATCAAATATCTATTGCCTTTGGATGCGCGAGTCGCATTATACAATGTTTTAATAAGACCTCTCTTCGACTTTGCTGATACCATCTGGGGAGACAGAGATACTATTACATTAATTCATAATTTACAGGTCTTGCAAAATTAAAGGCTGCCAAAGTTATCCTAGATTTGCCCAACGATGCTTCATCTACCGACGCTCTCAAAACACTCGGATGGCCTACCTTATTTCAAGAGCGCCTTGTACATAGATACATTACCACTTAAGTACATCCACGGACTTGTAGATCACAATTTTAATATTTTGAGAATCTCAGACATCCATGGTTATAACACTAGACTGAGAAGGAACGATTTCCGTCTTCCTCTCGTTAAAAGGAATTACGGAAAGCAGAGACCTTTTTATCAATGCGCTAAGGAATGGAACATTTTAGACGCATCTTTTAAAGAAATTAACTCTCTTCTTCTTTTTAAACAGAACATTAAAAGCTATATATTTTAGATATTTTATAGCTTTTAATATTTTAATCTGTCTGACGTTTTAACATTTTTAACCTGTAGCTTGTATAATTTAGGTTTTTAGTTCTTAACTTTTTACTTATTATTACTATTACGCATTCATTTATCTAAGATCACCTATTTTTCTGTATTGTTTTACAGAGCCTCACTGAAAATCACTCTTTGTGTAGTGAGCTCCCTGTATTAAGATTGTTATTTATGTTGTCTAACATTTCTTAGCCTCTTTTCATACAGATGCAAAGAGTTTTTTACTTATAAGCCTACTGGGACAATCGATTTTAGAGATTATTTAGTTACAGTTATCATAATGCATAAGAAGATAACAAGCCTATTACTTAAACATAAAAGCCGGTTGTAACTCATTAGAATTATTTAACTTGCGTTGTTTCTTAAAACGTTTCTATTTCCCCTGGTGTGAACTCCTATGTTCCTGCCAGGAATGTTCGGGCGAAGGTGCTGCCGCAGCTGTATCCGCTCGGTGGGCTGTAAGTATTGCCAAGGTTACTATATGAATTGCGATTGGATGACGTGAAGTCTGATATGTACATGTCATGTCCTACTCCGAATGAAGGCCCGTATGATGGAATATCTTGTATGGAATGTTGCCTTCTGGAGCTATATTTTCCCGTCTGAGGCAGCTTGACGGGTACCCATCCTGGCTTGTTTACAAGTGAGAATAAAAAGGCGTTTGAATCGTACCAAGAACCTACAAGAAAATAGAGCTGGAATAAAAGTGCCATTTGGGATATTTTTCTGATACTCACTTGCAAAAGGCACCCGTCATGTGCAGTAACACGAACCACAAGATAAAGGTTCGTTTATACCCTCCTTCACACTGATATATGTATGTTTTTGTAGAATGAACACCAGAGACATCAAAAAGGGCGCGATATAGCACTGTTTTTTTGCCAGCCCAGTACTAAAGTTCCCAATTGCTCATGGATACGTCATGGATGGTGTCGCGGGTTTAATTCCTATCTGGAACTCAAGAATTTTTTTAGTTCTTCTCTTGTCAACATATATCATTCCAGTTAACACTAAAAAAGCAAATAAACACTTTGGAATACACGGCCGAATACCCCTGACTTGAAATCCACTCATGATTAATCATGACCCTGCTTACACCTATACCCTCGACAAGAATAACTCCAAACACATCCAATTAAAACGAAAAATGTAAATCACTGGGTCGCGTAATAATATACAATTAGTGGAACAAAATTTACAGATGCTAAGTGCTTTATAAATTATTGATAAAATAACCATGAGAATGTGTCAGGAGCCTGCAGTGTTTCACTTTTAAGATTAAATTAAAATGGCTTACAATAAATCCTCCCGCAAGCAGCCAATTTTTGAACGGGAGGTTATAACAATCGGGGTCCTGAAACCTAAGAGACTGTTCGCTTACCGGAGCTAAGGTTTTCGTCTATGAGAGCTGTTTAAAAGCAAAAATTTGCAATTACAAAGCAATAGCTTCGAGCAAAAAATATTTGAAGAATAATGAAAGAAAACGTCGGGTGATTAGATATTTCCTGTTGTAACTTGTATAGAGCAATGAAATCATGATCAACAAAAAAATCTGTTGCTGTAGTTGTTTTTTGCCACATTTGCTAATTCCTTGTGAGTCAAGGAGGGGGGTCCTCGGTTTTAGAGGGGCGAGGGAGTGCGCGTCCGAATCTAGATCCGCCAACCTGAATCCTTATCGGCTACTGCATAAACCATGTAAGGTCAAACTGACTCCACATTGCTCATTACCTAGCTATCAAGCTGCACTTTTAGCCCAACATATCCATGCAAGTAACTGCAAAGGTACAGGTAACCGCCCCTTACAATGCGCACCTACGCCAGGATTTACCCGTGTATCCTCCAAAAATGTATCTCCCGACCCTTATTATTGTCACAGTCGGGCCCTTGCCGTCACATTGGGAGTGAAATGTACTTCCAGCCCAGCCGTCCACGGATGCACGCCAACAGCGTTTCCAAAGAGAATTAACGCTTTTTGCCACAGGTGCCAGCCAGTTACTTAACGAAGTTAAATAATTTTTGTTGCTTCCCACAATAATGGAGTCGTGCAAACCTGGGAAGAAACAAAATCTACCTCTTTTATTTGGCAAAAAAACACTGTTATGGCCAAGGATATAAGTAGAACTGTTTAAAAATTCTTCATTAATTCATTTCCTTGTCAAGTGTAACGGGATCCAAGTGACATGAGACTGGATATCAAGTGCTACTTTATTTTCTGGCGAGGAACGTTTTAGTCTGGTTTTAGTATTTCAAATTCAAACTCTAGTGAAGGCTCCCCCTTTCCCTTTAAGAAGCTACTACACACAGGAAAACCTCTAACAATGACCCTCATGTAATAGCAATATGAAAGACCATCACTGTCAATACTATACAAATTCAAGTTAAGAAGTCTGAGTGATGTTGTGGTAGTGCCGTAACAAATTTGTCTTGAACTGGATACAATGGCTGTTCAATCTCTACAATCCGTAAACCATGGTCTCCATTAAGGATTATGTTACATGTCACTAAATGTTCAATTTATGTCTGTGCAGACCTTGCATGGACGGATCTAGGGATTGGGTGCAGGGGTGCGCACTGCACCCCCCCTAAGATGACCTGCGGCTTTGTAATACAACTGGTATACTGCAAATAAAACTATGTGGTTTATTGGTGTTGAAGTAAAACATGAAGCGAGGTTGAAGCATTTATGTTAAACGCCGTAAAAATGGTAGTTTGGCACTGAAAAAGCCTAATGTAATAGGCTCCTGGTTTACGTCACCAGTCAGTTAAGCAATTCCTTAGTGGTGCAACCCCACCTTAGAAAAATCCTAGATCCGCCCCTGCCTTGCCGCATAAGACAAACCTACAGCTGAGCTACGTTGTACTGCCAGATTGATCCTGGCCTTCTTCGTTCCAATGCTGTTTGTTGCCATACATTCGTACAAACCGTTGTCAGCCGGGTTTAGGTTCTTAATGGTTAATGTACCCCTGTTTACCTCAGTCCTGCCGCCAGGAAAAGGTAGCACCGCTCGAATCCAGGTTACTACAGGACGAGGGTAGCCTTCTGCTTGACAGGTTACTTGAAACGTAGTGCCTTGTGCTGGTGTGGCAAGTGCAGGTGGAACTTTTGTGAAGATTGGAAGACCTGAAAAGAAAAATTATCTGGTTTATACTATAAAGCCCTAATGGTCCAAACGATTGCAACTGAGAAAGATGACGACCCATAGATCTTTTCTTTTTCGGGAAACTTTTATCTGTATAACAGAAAGGAAAAGTAAAGGAGAAACCAATTCAAATGATTGGTTAGTAAATATTTCAGTTTTTTTTTTAGAATTTGAAGATACGGCTACAAGCAGATAGGTGTATTAAAAGCGTGTGAAAAGGTCACCAATCGTCCCAGGCATTTTACACGATGTTTCATCAGTGAGGCATCAGGCTAGCTCAATTACCTCACTCTAAGGTAATATGTCACGGGGAGTGTCCCCGATTAGTTCACCACTTGTGTTGCGCTAAAAGCTATGACACGTTAATAACAAAAGTTATTGTTTGATTGATTGATTGAAGATGGTGCTCTATGTCTTTACATCATACAGGTTTCCTTGAATGTTTAAAAAAGTGATGGTCAATTCTCGCAACCTTTCCTTGCGAGGACATGAAACATATAATGACATATCAAACAAAATTAAACGGCCTTATTTAACAGACCTCAAAAGTAAAATACTTCTCTCACCTCGAACAGATAAGTTACTTGTGGCCTCAGACGATCCAAGAATGTTTCTGGCTGCACATGTGTACGGTCCAGCATCGCTGTAATTCAGATTTCTAACGATCAACTCTCCTTCTCTAATCAAATACTTTGCACCTGACAGAAGTTTTTTGCCCATAAATTGCCATTCCACGACTGGGGAAGGATTTCCTACGACCGTGCAATAAAACGCCGTATTTCCACCGTCATCTCGAGTCTGTTTATTCGGCGACAACATCACTTGTGGGGCAGATATCGATTTTCCAGGCCTTCCAGGTGGTCCCGGCATGCCTTTTGGCCCAGGCTTTCCTTTATCCCCCTTTTCTCCTATCGGTCCTGCGGGACCCGTCATTCCTGTTTTTCCGGATTTTCCAGGAGGTCCTATGGGACCTTGAGGACCTTTCTTTCCTTTTGGTCCCCTCCTGCCACGTGGTCCCCACGCTCCAATGGGACCAGGTCACCCGGGGGGACCTGCAGGACATACCTTCTCACTTGACCTACAGTACTTGGTGGGCATAAGTTGTTCAAACTGCTGTTTGCTGATTTCTTTTTTCACTTCATGTATGGTGATGCCAATTGAAGTGTCGTTCGAAACGTTTCTTCGCTTTCTTAACCGGATGGTTGCTGATGCCTTTATTGGCAACGAGCTGACTGCAATGAAGTAAAATTAGATAATACCTGTTAATTACCCATTGATAAACTGTAAAAATAAACAAGATCGAGAAGGAACGAAAGAATGATACGGCTGACATTTCTGATAAAGGTAACTCACAAAAGAACAAGAATCGAATCTTAAGACCTGCGCAAGAATTTCAAGCCAACTGACATCTTGAATACACCTACTTTCCATCGCTCTTTTAATCCCATAAGGGTTAAGAAAGGTTTTTCAAATTAGACTGAACTCCCTTGAAAGAAACGGAAATATCCCCATGAATAATCTCTTAATACGCGCCTTTTGTCTATACTGATCTATAATGTCTATACTATTGGAAAATTTACACAGAAAGTGCTGAACGAAAATAGCTCAATCTAAAGCAAACAGATAAATCTGAAAATAAATTGTCAAGAATTGGGTCATTATTGCTTGAAATTGGTCACCCAATACCTTTCAATTCCACGACCCCAAATAACCTCAAACCAGAAGCACATGCAGCCCACACTTAAAGAAATGTTTAAGGAACCTCATCTAATGTCGTCTAGCTAAAAATCCTAAAAAGACAATCTACCTGGCAGCCTCACTCAATTCCGAACTTAATAAATTATCCACTCTCCTTAAACCTGAAGAAAACAAACTTTATGTTATTTAAGCCTAGACAGAAAAGGTATCATTTTCCAATGCAAATATTCATAAATGAACAGAGAATCGAACAGGTTAAGGAAACGGTCTTCCTCGGTGTAGTCCTTGATGAACATCTGTCTTGGAAACCGCACATTTCTCAAGTAGCTCGTAAAATCTCGAAATCAATAGGTAAACCGTGTCTAAAAACTCTCTATTATTGTTTAGTTTATCCTTATCTTCAATATTGTATTATTGTCTGGGGATCTACGTACAAAACCAATCTTCGCCGTCTTGTTTTATCGTTATTTGTATTTTGTGGTAAATCAAATAAAAGTTACAAAAAAAAAAAGTTACTTGTTGAAAAGCTGTATAGTAATGATATCGACTATCTGGCGCGTGAAGGAATCTTGTTCTGCTCTTGTAAACACATTATTTATAAATTCAACTTCATTTACGCTGTAGATCTTTTCGGTTTTTTATCAGTGGCAGTGGCATAATTACTGACATCTAGGTAGCATTACAAAACAGTTTCATACAGTCTAAGTTAGAATCTGATACTATTTTGGGATTGCAAAAGATCCCGTGTTGTTAACGCGAACTCACGTCATGAAAGCGGGTTATGTCTTAACCGAGGGAGGATATAATAGCAGGTCTAAACATCCTCAATGTACACAAGGCCATCCAAGTGAGAAGAGTGAAAATAAATTTTACCTGAGGTATAGCCGTTCCCATCAGCTGAAACTTGTGTCTGCATCTTCTTGGAAAGGTCTATTACGATATCTTTTGTCGGTGAGAAGGGCATCCTGTCAAGATTATTAATAGTGCCACGCTTAGTGCAAGGAACACAGTAAACACGAGATTCCAGTGAAATCAGTCGTTCGTTTGTTGCTTCATTTTTCACCCAGAGACAACAGCAAACTAAAACTAATACCAACGAAAGGAACGATGGTCTAATTGACGGAACAAACTCAAGGACTCGTTGAGTTTTTGAAGAGTTTACGGTTTTCATTTTTGTAGTTTTAAGATCGTTTTCTTTCGCAGCCACTCGAAGACGGAAGTTTGAGGGAAAGTTTCAAGTTAAACCTGATCCGCTTCTGATTTAGCCCAGAAAAACAAGAGTGTTAGCTTACATTAGATTCGTGACGTAAGCCGGGCTATTCTACCGATGGTATCTTTTCTCTTGTTGCACTCAAACGTGGTCAAAGTTCCAACGGTTTCCGTATTCTAAAATACCGTAAAATTCCAAAAATAAGCCCCGGGGCTTATGCTTTTCAAAGGCCCTTTTTGAGGGGCTTATTTTTGGAGGGGCTTATATTCGGAGGGGCTTATGTACGGAGGAAATTTGCGTTTCAAAACTGATTGGGCTAGCCTTATAGTTGGAAGTAAATTTACCGTTTCTCTTTGTTTTACTTTGTATTTGAGGGCAATTTCCAAGTACAAGCCCCCGGGGGGCTTATATTTGGAGGGGCGATTTAACGGAGGTTTTTTTGCGTTACGAGTTTAGGGGGCTTATATTTGGAGGGGCTTATACATGGAGGGGCTTATTTTCGGAATTTTACGTATCAGAAATCAAACATCACGTAAGAGGTTGACCACGTGACCGTTGGCTTTATTCTTCATTCTTGATAACGTGGAGAGAATAAAGTTTCTCTTTTTGTAACAAACATTCGAGCATGAGTAATTTATTTAATTCAATTCTTGTTTTCTGTCACAGTTACTCGAAGTTTGAGGGAAAGTTGCAAGACAGTTAAACCTGATCCCTTCTCACTAAGCCCATAAAAACAAGTGTAGTAAATTAGCTTACATTAGATTGACGTGAGCCGGGCTGCTCTGCCGGTTGTTAACCTTCCTCCTGTTGCACTCAAACGTGGTCAAAGTTCCAACAGATACCATATTTTAAATTATTGCTGAAATCAAACATCACGTTTACCGGAAAGGAAACAAGTTTGACCACGTGACCATTAACCCTCATTATTGAAAACGTTGAGAGAATGAAGCTCTCTTTTTATGACAAACATGAGTAATTTTATTGAATTTTAATTCTTGTCTGGACAAACAATTAATACTAGCCCGTAAACGTGGTCTTTTATTTATTTATTATCAGTAGAAACTTCCTATAGGGGTATATTTTATTTAATAATATTTTATATACACCTTTTGCTGTTCATTACGAGAAAATACGCAGTCTTTTGCGTGAAACGGCGACCTATAGTGCGAAGATACATTCATTAGCGCAAAAATACGAACATTTGCGCATAAATTAGATTCAATTACGATTTCTGCATTTTAATCAACATTCAATAACACTTTTGGGCATTCATATGCGTCACTGGGCATACAAAAGAGAGAAATATACTTTCATTAAGGCCAACATCAAAGTCATTAATACCATCCTGAAAGTCAATAGCCACAACTGACATACATTAAAGTGCAAACACTACTCATTAACATTTTTACGACACTGTTTGCAATTCAATAGTATTCCTGGACAACCTTAGGATGGATAAGACAGACATTAATGTGCTTGTACAATCAATTGAGTGTCCTTTACATTTAATATACAAAAATCGATTTTCAATTAAACAATAGAAATTCAAACAAATTTGGCCTGA